AAATTATAGGCTATAAATAAATAAGCATCCTTAAATTTACTTGCTTCCAATTCAGATAATTTTTCTTAATTGGAAATAGAATGGCTCAGTGGCTTGTTGACAAATTTGCAGCGCCAATTATGGGGTTGGATTCCCCGCAGTAAATCTTCGAAATCCGGGTGATGCTGGCGGCTCACCTGTATTTCTATCGCCAAGGGACTTCCTGGCATATTTATCTAATGCCAGCATAGTGAGTTTAACCAGTAATGGTGGAAACTTTTAAAAAAAAATTTTTTCTTTATTAGAAAAGATCTTATCAGCAGAATTTTTTAAACGAATTTACCTATGTTATCATGATAGTAAATTAGACTTTTTAAAGTAATAAAATAAAAGATCTTATAAGCGAAAAATATTTTTTCCATGACAATTGCTGAAAACCTTATTCTATCGTTGTAATATTGAATATTTAGAAAAATACATGAAAAAACAAGATCATCGAAATAATTTTCAAAAAATAAAATAAAAGATGAAAAACTTACTGACAACAGGTTTTTTCGAAAAATATCGGAAAGGTTCGATTCGTATTTCAGGTGTTTTGATAGTTGAATCAGATTTTTTACGCGTTTCAGTAGATGCATAAGGATTATACTCGAACATTTTTTTAATAAGTGATAGAATAAGTGATTGTTTCACAAAAAAATAAGTGAAAAATCGCTTACAAACGTGAAAAATAGATGAAATAAAAATATTTTGCGAGCACTTAATTTTGCTTAATTTTCTCGCCAAAAAAATTTATCGGTCGCTTCAATTATTATAAATAATTTATAGAAAATTTAGAAATAAAAATTGTTCAAATTTTTCTTAAAGGAAAAATTTTGGATAATTCCTGAAATATATTCGATAATTAGTCGTGAAGAAGATGATCGCGGTTAATGATGAATTTCGCTTGTTTAAAAAATTTTTGAGAATTTTTTCTATTATGCGAATTTCAAAAAAAAAACCATAGCTAATTTGCAAATAATAATTTCGAGAAAATAACATAAATGATAAAATCAGAGCTGATAATCCATTAATGAATTAATAGGAATAATCCATTATATTTATTGATAATAATAATTCAGTTTTATTCAGCTTATTTAGCTTTATTTTAATAATTTTAATAATTTAGTATTTTACGACAATGTAATGAAACTAACCAAATGGCGGCCGAATGTAAAGTTCATTATTCATTCTAGTAAAATCGTTTTAAATCCTTTTCTTATTCATTTAAAAAAATCCTTAAAAATCCTTTTTTTAAATTTTAAATTTCTGGAGGCCTTTTGACGTTTTTTTTTCCTTAATAATAATATCTCTATAGTTTCTAGATTCACTTAAAACTAATGAACTAGGGGAAAAGAACAGCAATAGTTTCTAGTTTCTTCAACAGTTTATGTATCTCGGCCTCTAAATAATTGTTGTGATTGAGAAATTGTGATTGAGAATCATTTCTATTCCTGTCTATTCCTGAATGGTTCGATTCCTATTTCAATTGGCCCTCTGGTACAATTTATTTTTTAAGCTTTTTTCACGTGAAATTATAATAATTTCATAAAAATTATACGAAATGATACGATTGATACGATTCAATGATACGATTCAACAGTGTCGTTTGCAAATTTCTTTTATAGATCCAACAATATGAGATTTTATTATTTTAAAATTTATAATAAACCTATAAGGCTTATAAATTTTTTTTTCTGTACCACTAATCATTTCTGTTTCGAATTTTTCCATTGGCTTCTCAGCAAAAAACTATTTTATTAGAGGGCTTCTCGTGAATAGAAATGCAAATTGATCGTCAAAATTATTCGAAACAATAATTACTATAAAAATAAATAAAACAATAAATAAATAAACAAAAAAATAAATTATTATAAAAATAAATATTACAATATAATATAATTACTATTTAAAATTGTTTAAAGTTATTTATATTATTTATTTATTAAATTTTAAAAATTAATGTCTATTAGGTTAAAAAAAAAAAAATTATGAAATAATGTGTGAGAAAAAAAATGAAAATTATTCAATGAAAAAATTTGATTATATGAGAAGCCAAGTAAATAATTTTAAAGTATTTTATTAGAAATAAAACGAATGCAAAATGCATATTTGAATTGCATAGATTCGCTGCTTTTTTCCTCGTTTCTAATCCAGAGATAATCTCTGAGAAATATTTATCCACATCAATGAGATATTAGCCACAGATGTTTCCAATAGACTTCTCAATATTTTCATGTTTAATTATAATTTTTTTTTTTATATGAACCAATCACTTAGAAATAAGAAATTTTAAAAATAAGACCCACAGAAAATGTGAAATAAAAATTTTCAAATATTGTGTAATTCGCAAAAGCAATTTTCCCTATGGCAATTAACTAAGGTAATATAATAAAGTATTGTGACTATGGTGTAATCTTTCGAATCGTTATTCGAGTCTTAAGTGAGGCTGAAATATAAAAAATGGGCGCTAAAGGAGGAAGGATCATAAATACTTTTCTAGTTTTCCTCACATATTCCTTCCTTTTTTGCCAATTAGCGAATAAAATTTGCGGAATTCAAAAAATTCATTCAAAAAAAAATAAAAATTGTTGGCTAAAATTATTAAAAAACGACTTATCACCATGATAAGCTGATAGAAGCTGTCGTAAGCAAGCGCAGACTAGTTATTTTAAAAGAAATTTGAAGACTGTTCATAGCATTTATTCGAAGAATTTCTGCCTTCCAATAGGTTTTTTTTAAATTCAAAAAAAATACTTATTTTATTCAAAAAATATCGAAATAGAATAGTAGCTAATTTGATCAATTAAATCACTATAGGCTTTCTGCTAATTGAACGCTACTAATCAATGCTGAACCAATGAAATATTCAGATAAGTGATAAGTGAAGAAAGATAAAATCCCATCTAAAATCGGATATAATATCCCGTCGTTAAAGAAGCAAAAGAATATAAAATTCTCAAATTCTTCAATTGTATATTATATCGAAAAATTATTCCAAGAATAACGTATTATAATCATAAATTAGAATATTTTTTATGCAAAAAACGTATTTAATAAGGAATAACGTATTTAAATTATAATCATAAATTGGAATATTTGTATGCAGAGAAATCTATAAGTATTTTAAGAAAATTCGAGTTTCAAGGCCATTATAGAAATATCAAAATATAAAGTCAAAATTATCAAAGTTATCAGTCCGATATCATTATATAAAATAAATATGATTATTTCTTAGAGAGATGCCATCTCATCTAGGATTCGATCTTTTAAATCCACACATAATATTATTTCATTGTTTTTTTTCATTGTTTTTAGAATGGAGATTTTAGCATTCACTACTGAACAGTTCTTATCATATCAGTAGAAACGCCAGAACGGAATTGGAAAACTTTGATAGTACCAATCTGCACATAATATGGGCCATAAAATAAACCCAAAAAAAGGCGACTTAAAAGCAGAAAATTTTCATCAATTTTTTTCGTCTATCAGTTATTATAATTTTTAACAAAATATTTATAAATATTTATACAATCTTATAATGGTGCTATGAAAGAGAAAAAATGGATTGGAAAAGAAAAGTAACTGAGTTGAATATCTGGCAAATGAAAGTAAAAAAAAAGGCTTAAAAGCAGAGATTTGTTTAAATTCAAGTTCTGAATTTTTCAAATTTTTCAAGAACAACGCTATCCATGCCTAAAGCAATAAAGCTTATATACTGCAATACTTTCATGAATAATATAAATTTCTTTTGAATAGTACAAATACTTATTTTTCAAATAGTTCTAGTTTTTTCACTTGAATTTTCCAAGTCTAAACTAAACTGAAATACTGACCGATTCAATTATTCAATGCATCTCAGCAAAAAAAAAGCGAGAAAAGATCGATGAAACTGAAATGAAAAAAGGCCAAAACGTTATATGAAATGCTATCCTATTTCTAGAATTGGGTTTTTTCCACATATTTTGAGTACTTTTTTAAAATTTTTAAAGAAAAGAGTCTTATTTCTTGATTGATTTTTTTTTCAGAAGGTCAGGACCTATAGATAAATCGCTATGTTTCAGTTGTAAAAAGTTGCGATAGACTGGTGATAGTTGCTGATAAAAAAATGCCGCTAATATGATTATAGATCGCTAGATTTCAATTAATATTGGGATTTTTGTAATTTCTATAATTTTTGCGAAATTTCTTTAATTTTCATTTAGGATTAATTCAGTTCTACTCCAAAAATCAATAAAATAAGGAGAAAATAAGAAATTATTTAATGAAAATTTTAATTACGAAGGAAGAAATTTATCCATTTTTTATAATATTTAAAACCTTAGAATGCATTATCTCAGAAACCTTGGAAAATTTATTCATATGAGATATTAGAAGAAAAAATTCGACTATTTTCGAGTTGTCGAAAAAATAAACCAAAGACGAGAAAAAAACTTTCGCTATTTTAGTAAAGCAAAAGTCATTACTAGTTCTATTCATCAGGTTTAATTCAGTTTGCAAATTTTGATGCTTTTATAAGATACATTTTATTCATTGATTAGAAATTTTATGATAAACTTCGAGGCTTTTCATGCAAAAAAAAAAAAATGAAAAAAAATACTGATGAAATACTGAAGAATTGAACAATTTAATAGTTTAACATGAGGAAATAGACAACAGAATTCAACTATTTTGCTATGCGTCGGAAGCCTACAAATTTTTTTTATAAAATCTAAGAAGACTGGTTAAAGACTGGTGAACATTTTAAAAAATTCACAACAACGATGTGTCAGTGATAGGCATTCATTATTTTTCATTCTTACAACATTGTGGACTTTCAAATTGCAAATACTGAGATACCGAGATCATAAAAGATTCTATTCATAGGTCCTAGCTGGCCAAAAATAGCAACTGTAACGGCTCAAAATTACTCAAAATTTGAATCATATCGTATCAGGAATGATTCTAATTCCTTCTAAAGTGATTATAATTGATAAGTGATTTTACTCATTTTGTCGAAATTTAGAAAAGCACTTACCTCCGAAAAATTCATTCCCATTTTTCACTGCATATGAGCAACTGGTGAATTTGTTTAAATCGCTGCCTCGAAGTTCACTCAATTTATTCAACCTCGATTTCCGTTTTTTTGATATGAAAACCTAAATTATATATATTATATTCGTAAATGGTACTTAAGCATTTTTTTCGACCGTTAAATTTTTTAATATTCGAAAATTTCCATGCAAAATTTATGAATAATTTATGAACATATGTCGATATTGTAATGGTAATTTATTAAAAAGATACTGGTTCAAATCCATGTTGTTCTTGCAACATTCGAAGACGAAAACTTGCATGGGCCCCTTTAAATTTACGTAAACGAGTTTTGGGCGTTTGCGGTTCCACTGCGGATTCGATATTTTGCAGAATAGTGTTTGTTGGGGTTGCATCAGATATTTGAAGGATCGTACTTGATGATGGCTGCAAATTTATCCCAATAAAATCACAAATTTATTCAAATAACGAATTGTCTAATTGCTGAAATAAGCAGCTCAATATAAATAATAAATAAATTTAAAAATTATTTTTATTTGCGGCACTTTTCGGTTATCTGGTTAGCTATTTGAAGAGATACTGAAAATGAAGAGGATTACAATATTCGCAAAGAGAACGAAATTAGGAATAGCGAAAAAGTGAAGAGCGGTTGCCATTTCTGGTTAGACTTACTAAACTTTCTAGAGAATCAGTTAGCGATAGAAGTACATATGGGTCGCTAGTGTTATCAAGATTTTCAAAACCAGGCTCAATCCTACCGGGAATGGAACCTCAATACAATTGCTATAAAATAACGATATCACCCACTGATCAAAATTTTTTTTTTCTTAATGCTTCTCCTGATCGCACGCCATACTTGTTAATTGAAGCTAAATCTAGCTGGACCACTTATGCACTCGAAATCTTTTTCGGCCATACCTATCCAGCTCTTGATTGGACCTCTACGTTTTTTAGCACAATTTTTACTATGAAAAGAAGATAAGATATATTTATGAATTCCTATGATGGACCACAAAAAACAATGAACCATAGCCTAACTTTGAAATTCGACACTTCTTAAAAGTATCATAGATAGATTTGTATTTGTTTGAAGAATATATAGATTTGTATTGTTATATCAGCGTTTATCATCGGCACATAGGTTGGAAAATGTTTGTCTTATTTGTACTGATAAGACCAAATTTTGCTGCTTTTGTCGATGCCCACTCTAGCGTCCGTTGCAGTTTGTAAATATCGAAAAAGAAAATAGCGTATTCAAGGTCTGTTAAATTCTGAGTTAATTTGTATAAATTACAATTCTCTTGACAAAAGTATTATAACCCAGTCTATCGCATAATTAGAAATTATAAGTGAAAGAACCTGATGCATATGAGTCCTTGTATCAAAATTGTGTATCTAAAGATTATTTCAGGTCACCATGTCTGTACCTTTTCTAAAGTAAGTCTGCTCTATGACCTGTCAGAAGGCCGCTTATTTGACAAAATCGAGAACAGCGGCAAAGTCATTGAAACAATTGATGGTAGGCTGCCGCAATTTGAAGCGATGTTCCAGTGTCCTTCTTTGTATGAAGTTTTCACCATTCCATTCCCTGAATTTACCATTGGATCCAGTGCATATCTTGCTATTACTAGCCAGCAAACCTGAGATGAATTTTCGCAGATAAATATCAAGCAAGTTATTTCCTTTGCTATCGCAATGCTCTGTCATCTTACTTTGAGAGTACCAATGAGTACAATTTTTGCAGATTTTAAAAATTATGAAGGATATTGGAAATTGCTTTAATGCAGATTAAGAGTGTTACGATTTTAAATTTGTTTGTACATATCATTTATCTGACTTAAGTATAAAAAAATTTTTATTTCCTATAATAAAAGTAAAATTTTATTACAAACCATTAATTTATATATTTCTTTTTTATTTCACATAAAAAACTGTGAAAGCTAAATATATTAAATTTTCTGGCAAATGGAAATAAATTAGGCGATTGTTTATTGCTTTAATTATTACATCCTGGATCGACTTAAAGGAAAATCCGTATGAGAACCTCAGTTGTACCTATCCTCAAGAAATTTTCCACCAAAATTCTCCACTCTCTATTAATAATCATAGCTAATCAGAATCAGAAAAGCGAAAACTGCTTAATTGTTTAATTTGACCTGAAATATGAGCCTTAGAAAATTGGTTCCATCAGTTTATCATTTCCAAATAATTATGATTTGCTTCTAAAAAAAAATTAAAGTCAAATTAATTAATTTATGAGAAATATTTTAAAAAATCAGTGCATTTAGAAGTATTTGAATTTATCGAAGGATAATTAATTTTTTTTAAGTTATCACTTATATTTTTTTTTTAATTTTATTTCTTCTAATAACCGACTTTGTATCTTTAAATTAACCTTGTCAATTATCGCCTTTCTCTCTCTTTCTCTCTCTCGCATGAACCCTTCCCCTCGTATTTCTCCTTTAATTTAAAGTGGCTGGCAGAAAAAACGACTCGACAGATATCCTTCATGCGCGAATTAATTAGTTATAAATGATATTAAAAGATTTCGGCGTTTTAGCAAAAATTTCTGTATTTATGAATGGTTTGTAGTTATTATTTTGTGCCATTCCATGCCAGTTTCATATAATCTTAAAATTTCCGAAGTTCGATTGAAAACTCCGATCAGATATTTAAAATTTAAAATTTCGTTGATAAACATTAAATATATGATGAAAAAATTACAGATTTTGATATTTGGCTTAAATTTTCTTCAGCCATAATCGACAGTTTATGTCCATTGAAACCACTCGTTTGAATATAATCCATTATTATTGACTATTATTCATCCTGAAAGTTAAAGAAAGAAAATTATCATTAAATATCATAAATATCATTTAAAAATCTTGTGAAATTACATAGCCGATTTTTTCTTTCGACTTGCAGAATTGAAAAACTGGTCAGATTTTTATGAAATTCTTAAGATTAAATTGCAGTGATAACAGAGATAATCGAGTGTTAAATAGTTTAGATTATTGTGTTAATAAAAAAAGTGGTTCAATGATTTTCGATAAGCTTATCACTAAAAAGTTGTGTTTATGATCAATCTATATATTTCTATCGCCAAATGATTCTCTATCAAAATTGTCTAATAAGCAAACAAGTAAAGCAACAAGCGCAACGAAAAATGATAAGCACTAATCACTTTGAGCAGTGATATTCACGGATGGGGCAGTTTTGTAAGCCTTCTTATTTCAGATTATGGCGAAATTTAGCGAAATAATGAAAAAAAAAGCAGATTTCTTCTTTTTTATTTTATTTTTAAAATATTTATTTAATATATTTACTCATTTAATGTAAAATTTAATATATTTAAAATTTATAAAAAAGATTTACTTGCTTAATATTTCATGCAGAATCTATTAATTTCAAGACTATAAAATTTACGCAAGAAAGATCGCATTTCGAAAAATTTGATCGCAAAAAATAAATTGGCTACGACTAATAAAATACTTACCGGTCTTTAGTGGTAACGAAAGAGAGAATTTTACGATATAATAGAAAGATTTTTTAAATATTTCAAAAAAAAATGAAGTGGAATAAGAAGATATAAAGAAAATTTTTAGCAGTGAATCTTGCTGGTACTAAAAGTTTTTAAAAAGTTTTTAGGCGGAGCAAAAAGAAAAAAAAATTTTTTTTTCGCTATTATTCATCGTTTACATGATTCGGTGGGTGATTTTCATTAATTATAAAAATCCATTAAAAAATTCTTCTTGAAATTTCCTTTTTTTTGCAATCCAGGAAATTCTTCGCGATAGTTCATTCAATCATGTTGATTAGCTTTTTAAAACAATCCATAATCTTTATTTAAAAATCGTCTTAAAAAAAAATTATTTTTTATTTCCTTTTTAAATATAACTAAAAATAAAAATCTCTCCTAATAAGTAAATGGATTTTTAAATATTGGTTTAATTTTCGTTTTTTTAAAAAGCATTTTAATTTTTAATAAATCTTAAGCTTTTAGAATTTAAAGAATTAAAGAGTAATAATTTTTTAATCTAAACCTAAATATTTCCCTAAAAATTTGTTTTATCGTCGGGACTTTGAGGAACTTTTAAACCATTTTGGCACCTTTTTCATTTTTTTTTATTTATTCATTTATTTAATTTTTATTTTTTTATTCATTTAGAAGAAGAATGGTGAGGAAAATAATATCACTCGCAGCAGCGACTTCTCCGAACAATGTTTGTGGCCTAAAACGAAACAAAGCGAATATAAAAATTTTCGCTGGTAAATTTCAAATACAATTTTCGCAATTTGTTGAAACCTTTGAATTTTACTAAACAAAAAGCAAAAATTAAAAGTTTCATATTAAAATAACGAATACCAAAAAAGTAAAAAACTTAAATATGATTTTATAAAAAAATCACAAAATAAAATTTTTTAATGAATTGTTAAATACATTTATTGCAGGGGCTTCATTTCCTTTCAATCACGCAATGCTATCACGCATAAAAATTTCCTATCGTTTTTTAGATAATTTTTTTGGCACATTTTGAGATGGCGTACTACTTTCATAAAATTACTTGAATATAGCTAAAATAAATCAAGATTTAATAAACTAATTCAGTGGTTCGTGAAAATTTCTACTTTCACAACTTATTCAGAACTCATTAAGCAAATCAAAATTTCCTATAGTTGTTTCTGAAAAAAATTTTCATAATCGCTTTAAAGAACTTTTATTTATATCTAATGATATTGGAAAATAAACTTTTTTTTTATTTTTTAAAATATGTTTATAAAAATATTCAAAATATTATAAAATTCAGTATGCATCAGATTAACTGATAAAAAATAAAAAAGGCAGGTAATGTCCTAAAATCATTATACTTTCCGCTTTTATAATCCTTAACGAAGTCCTAAAGGATCCCTAAGGTCCTCGAAGAATTTTTTATTTTGAAATATAGCGAAGTAATTTGTGGTGAGCAATAATCATGCAAAAGCCAAATAGAAAAGCTTAAATTTATGTGATAAAAAAATTAATCTTTAGAAAAATCAGACATTTTCGAGAGGTTTTCTTTTTTATATTTAAATTAGATAAATTAGAAACTTCACTTCTCGATACTTAAACAACGCTATAAGACACTATAATATACAGAATGATTCTTGCACAGATTATCGCCGTCAACGTCCGGATTGATGGTCGATTCGCTTCCGGCAGTAGCCTATTTATTTATGCTAGACAAATGGATTCTGATATGTTGAAATTTACTAAATATTTTAAGATAACAAAAACGAAAAGGAAAAAGTATTTTCAGTTCTCTTTTTAAAATCATTGGTTAATCGGTTGATTCGTTGAAAAATTTCCGAACGATCTATCGAATAAATAATAGTTGGTTTGGTTAGCATATTTGCTTTCTTCTTTATTTATACTATATTTTTTAATTATAAATATAATTATAATTATTTGTGTAAAAATTGAAAATAGCGATCGGTCAATAAAATGCGAAAAAAATTGTTGGCAACATTTGAAAAAAAATTATTCGCCGTCTCGTCGCTTGAAAATTAAAGATATTTAGCAGAGTTTACACTATTTGGAAAGATAAATCTTCGTTTAATTCTTCAATAAATCTCATTTAGAAATAATTTCAAAAAAAAAATTCATTCATTAATGTATACAAATTGTAATTTGAAGCAATTCAATTGTGTTAATTCAAATTTTTTTCTAAAAAATCTTTATTTATTGAAGAAATTATTGGCGTTATTTATGTAAAGAATTCCTAAAAATTGCCAAAAAATGAAATTGCGTAAAATGGTTGGAAAATATGAAATTTTCTAATTTAATTTACAAAAAAAACTAAAATAACTAAAGTGAAAAAATATGAACTAATATCATAGTGATTTTTAGCCTCACGAAAAGGAATATAGAAAAATTTGAATTTCTTCTTCTTAGTACCAATAGGAAAATTTATGCAAATTTATTGATAAAGAAAGATTGTCATTTAAGAGTAGCAATTTAATAAATTTACAATCATAATCGAGATTTTCTGAAAAAAAGAAAATTCAAATTAAAAATTTATGGAATAAAATGAATAATTTGGCTGATAAATTTTTTTTCTGGCTAGAACGAATAGAATACCTTTAAAAAACTATTGTTATATGGCTAAGGCTTATAGTTTACACTTTGATTGATGAGTGACGAACAACGAACATGGCATAATTTCTTAGTAAAAAAAAAACCTCTGCTTTCGAGACTAAATCAGTTAAAAAAAAGTTTTTTCCGTATCAAATTCTTAGCCGATAATTTGACAGCAATCATCTATTCTTTTTTTTCCAGTTTAAAATCTCAATAAATTATTTTATTTCACATTTTATAATCGAATTAGGCCCAGCCAAATGTGGAAAATGTCGCATTGAGAAATAAGAATTCAGCTTCTGCCGTTGAAAAGCAAATTTGTCACTCTTCTTTTTCTTTTTCTTCTTCTAACAACTCTTACCATTACTGGTTAGGCTGGCTTCGTTGGCTACAAGAGTTTCCAAACTACTCGGTCCGACGCCATCGCTAGCAGTAATAGAAGCTATTCCTTCTTCCGTCGCACAAGTCCATCGCTGGTCCTCCTATACGTTTAAAATATATATTTGTTATTAGGAAATTCCAGATAATATTAACGGCTTAGCTTAAACTTAGTTATACTAATATCGCCATGGCAAAAACTTCTAACCGTATTAACAAGCTGGGCTAACTTAATTAAAAATAGAAACAGTAAGCTTCAACCATTTGTTCTGAAAATTGCGAATCAAATTTTCTTTATTCTTTTTTTAATTTTGTAAATATATATGTATATATAAATGAAATTATAATAAATATATTTTATAAATATAAATATAACAAAATGATACAACGTAATATAAAACGTAATATAAAACGTAATATAAATGATACAACGTAATATAAATGTAAAATGATTAAAATGATAATGATAATAATAATAATAGTAATAATGAATAAAATAAATACAATAAAGATATTCATTTAGATATAGATGTTTAATTTTTTTAAATCATTTTTCGTATAGTTTATAGATAGTTATTTTATAGTTTTATTTGTATAGTTTAATTATTTATTGCACTTTATATTTTTATTTTTTTACATTTTTATTTGTTAGTATTATTTGTATTAGGCATGCAGTGGTGCAACGGATTATTGTACCCACTTTTAAGCGCTGATGCTAGTATTCTACTTCCATTTCCCTAAGAAAAAACAAAATTCTCTTTCAGAGATTCGAATGCCAGTAATTCGCCTGTTTTTCGATTAATTGAATCCCTGAAGCAAAATTTAACCATAAAAATCAATAGAACGGGCTTTATTAGAAAAGGTAATAAAGCCCTTCTACTGATGATAATGAAAGTCAAAGTACTGCAGTGGATTCGTCAATATGCTTCTACATGGCAAAACGATAATCGTGTTAGCCAGTAGATCGAGTATAACCAGAAATATCGTGCTGATCACCTGTCAATACTCTTAAAAAATTGAATTAAATGAAATGGAATTTTAAAAAAAATAGATAAAAACATTTTGAATTTTTCTTTTCCTAAAATTAATCAATTATCGATTAAAATTATTTTTTAATTTTTATTAGATCTTTTCTTTCAAAAAAATTTACTAATTATTTTAAATTTGAAAAGAATTCCTTTGCTTTGAACGCTATCGGCATAAATTATTATTGCCTTGGCAACAGAGAATCTATAAAATGATTTTGCTTAATAAAAATTATATTATTTATTGAGGTGATAACAAATTTTTATCACCAATGTTTGTTTATCTCAGTAAAAAGGTTATTTTATAATTCAATATTTTTTAATTTTATTTAAAAATTTGTGTTTTTTACTAATTAAATACCTCCATTTACTTATTACTTACTTAACTGAAGCTGAAGCTGTAATAAAAAATCTATGAACAATTAAAGAAATTTAATTAGAATCGATTCGATTTTCCTGTATATAAGAGTAAATTAGGAGTGAATAAATAAAGGTTGCCAGCATCATTTGAATTTTGGACAGGCTTATTCCTGCGGGGAATGGAACCATTAGAACTACCTTCAAATACTGGAAAAATCTCATCAATCCATTGAATATATCGAGTTAAAACGGAAATTGAAGTGAAAAACAGAAAATGAGAAGAATGGAATACATTAATCTTTATTTTTGATATAAATCTTACCTAATAATTTTAATTCTCCCCTCCCCAATTCCCCCTAAATTTGTTTATTGAATATTTATTTAAAAAATCGCCTAGATCTCCATACCGAATACATCACAGTTATATTGTGTATCATGGATGCAAAGCTTAGGATATATAGCAGCTGGTGGAACGGATGGCACTTTGAAATTGTTGAAACTTGCTGACACGCAGCGTAATATTTGTTCTTTTATCTTAATTAGCCACTGAGCTTTTTTTTAAAGAAAAAATCTCCCTCACCATAATCTGTTAGATTTATTCTCGCGCTAGATAAATATGTCCCTTGGAATAAAGGTGAATTGCCAGAATCATCCGTTTTTGTGGTCAGGATTACTCTTGCGAGGAGTGGAATCTCAGCATCCGCGCTCCAAATTAAGCAACAATCCATTGAGCTATTCTACTCTCATATAACTAGCTAATTAATTATTTAAACAATGGTGTCACATATTATGCACCATTATTTTAAGGAATATTATAATTATAGAACGTGGCCCGACTGGACCTGCCACTCACCTGGCAATTAATCAAAATCTTGATGGACATAGTGGTAAATCTTTCAAATCTTTCTAATGTTCTTGGAAATTTTTAAATTTACGGAAATTTTTAAATTTATTTTTAAATTTAAATTTAAATACGGAAAGATAATCATTTAAATGAATTCTCATGATTTATAGCGGTTGAAATTTCCGAATTTTTGAATTACAAAATTCAGGCATCGTTTACATAGCAAAATGGAATGAAATTTATCAAAAGCTAACGACAAGTGACAGTAATGGCCTAATAATTGTCTGGCTAACGCGTCATGATAGCTGGTACGAGGAGATGATTAATAATCGAAATAAATCGATAGTAATTGACATGGTTTGGAGCCATAATGGAACCAAAATCGTTATTGCCTATGAAGATGGTTCAATTTTTTCATACATAATTTATTTTTCAATGATAATATGGCATACCTAATTACCATTACCCGGTTGACTGCTGGAAATCAACTTGTACTTGTAAAAGCTAACGAAAAGTCCATAAGTGGCTCATATTCTTTAGCCATAGAGAAATCCAGTTAGCAGTTAGCTAAATCGCAAATATTGATTAAGTAGAGTTAATTCCATTATAGGACAAATCATTGTCGGTTCAGTGAGTGGTAACAGATTATGGAGCAAAGATATTTCTGGAAATATAGCAGCAGTTTGCGTATGATTTTTTATATTTTCTAAATTTTTGATATTCTATATTGTGAAAATTATGAATGCAAAATAACCAGGTTGATCGAAAAAGACGAGTATCGTCGTATGTTTGCAGTGGTCGGCCAATTCATCGTTATTACTCTTTGGAATGTCAGATGGTGAAGTTCATGTTTATGACGGAACTGGTTTATTCATTCAAAAGGTCCATATGGTATGTTTGGAGGAAGTCGAACTTGAAACTGCATTGTCAAGTAATTTTTCTAACTATATTGTCTGACGAGAAACTTTCGAAACCAAATTTTCCTTTTCTCCACCCGCAAAAATAGGGCGAAAATTTAAAAAGTATGAATAAATTCTAAGTTGTGCGAACCACTAAAAAACTAAAAAAGCTTGAATGACATCGATATGATTATAAATAGCGAAGTTTCCTGGAAGAAAAATCTCGCTGTTTGATTAATCTCTCTAATTTTATAAAAAAAACCTTGAGCTCAGTTGTAAAATCGAAAAAATTACTTGGAATAATTAGAGAATATTATGGGAATTGAGTGAGAACGGTGATTAGAAGAGATACTAGGGGTATGTTTCACGGCGAGCTTAAGTACATCCAAAATCTGAATATAGTTCCACTCGTTCAGTTTTCACAAGCATAGAATGCAAAAACCATAAAATCCATAAAATTAGTCAAATTCATAACTAAGCTTAATTTGGCTAAAAAACAAAAAAATCTTTTTCGGATGATCAAAAGATGATTGCGATCGAAAAAAAAATTTTTATTCAATTTCGGTACAATAAAAATATGTTAATGAAAATATTTTTATTTTTTCTAATTACAATTTTCACTAATTGTGATTTTAGAAGATTTAAGACGAGATACCATTGTTTCTATGGAATGGTTATCATCTGCAATGACTTCTAAATTGGTAGATGAACGAATTTGCGACCAAACAGGTCACAAAACTTATCGTCATTTTGTATACTATTATTATTATCATTATTATTATTATTATTATTATTATTATTATTATTATTATTATTATTATTATTATTATTATTATTATTATTTATTATTATTATTAATTATTATTATTATTATGTTATTATTATTATTATTGCTATTTTTTATTATTATAAACTACAGCAATATTTTTAGGCATATCCACATCCTCTGAAACAGTTCCTTCATTATGTGAAAATATTTCTGAAAATAAGCCGAGACTTCATATTGCTTATAAACATGGGGTTATTCAACTTATGAGAAATGAAAATGATACGAGTATGTCTAAATTTTTAAAATATTTGGGAATTTATTAGAACTTTCCAGAAAGTCTTCTAAAATTTATCAGTGATTTTGTCAGTGATATGTGAAATATATGATATTTTAAGATCCAATAGTAGTCAAATTGCCAAATATGATGATAAATAAAGCACGTTGGAATCCAAGCGGTGATTTATTAGCGATTTGTGGTATACAAACTGATTTAAATTGCGATAAATGTGTTGTTCATTTTATAAGTGCTTATGGTGAAGTAAATTTTTTCTAAATTTTGTTAAAATAATAATAAAATTTCATTGTTTTTACATAATAAATAAATATATAAATAATAATAAATAAATATTTAAATAAATATATATAAATATATAAATATGTAAATAAATATACATATATAAAAATATAAAAATAAAAAATCGTTAATGAAAAAAAAATTAAATATTTTTTGAATATTCAAGAGCCAAAATGTGCTACAAATACCCGGCGAAACGATAACCGATCTTTCATGGGAAGCTGGAGGATTGCGAATTTGCATGGCTGCTGATTCTCATCTTTTTTTCGCTAATATTCGCCCAAATTATAAAGTTTTTTTTTAAAATTTCGCTATTTTTTAAAAAAATCTAATATTAAAAGAATATGCAGCTAGTAATATCGTTAATAAACTCGAAAATATCAACAAAATCATCCACTAAGAAATAATTTCCTGTTATTTTATTATGCGAAGATCTACCTTCTACGAAGATCCACCGTTGTTTTCCTGCCTGTAGGCGTTTTTCCTCGTTTTCTCCCATTATGTTGAATCTTTTTTATTATTATTTATTATTATTTTATTATTACAATATACAATATACATCATCACTAAGATTTTTTTTATTTCTCTGGGAATATTCACCATTTTTAAACTCGTTTGCTTATCGGACCAGACCGCTAGTGATCGCCAACACTACATCAGATTTCTGAAAGGTTTATTCCCGCCGCAACCCACTGAGCTATAATAATAAATCTGTGACTTAAGGAACACTAAATGAAGAGAAAGGAAAAATGACAAGTTAGTGATAAGTGTGATAAATTGCAGTGGACATATTGTGGTCAAACAATCGTCTATAGTTATGAGAAAGATGGAAAAGAAGATAATTATGTTGCTTTTTTCGAAACGAAATTAGAGGAAACCTATAAGAAATACGTTGGGCATCTGATTGGTATTGGTTCTTACGATGAACATTGCGTAATTGTGAGTAAAACCGATCAGTCAATTACGGTAAGGTTTCTTCGAGATAAAATTTTACAGATTGTTGAATTGCTCTTATTTGGATATCACTTTGACTATTATAAATGGTGCATCAAGAGATCCATCTTTGCTAACTGACTTAATGCCAAAGGCTAATACCTAGTGGACACAGCCAAAGCAGAAATGGTGTTTGACACAGATATCTATATTGAATTTAAAAAGTGACTATTTTTAAAGCACATGTTGCAAGTTTGTAATGGAATTGGTACGACTGTAGATTCTAAACTTATAAATTTGGAAGCAAAATATGTAACGATGAACGCATCATTCATTTTGGTTGCAAGTAATAACGCATTTATGGTGACTCGATATGTTATACCAAGTTCTTCACTTCGTGATAAACAAGCATCTGCCAGCAGTAATGATGAACTGTATGGATTCAATTTTTCTTAAAAAATTTATATTCAATAATCAATGAGGATGAATGACTATATGAGTTGTTGCATTCGTTTCGGGATCTATTTCAAGCCAATTTGTCTGGTGCAATATTAGCGATTTGTAGCCAAAGGATTTCTAAGCAAATTTGTTTAGTCCGACAGCGAACAAGCCTAATCAAACATGGTGGTTTTTAGGAAAATGAAAATACTGAGGAACATAAATCGACAGTTTGGGCAAACAGATCGGAAATTTTTCATATTTTTAAAGATAACTAACCCAAAATTTGAATTGTTAATATTTAATTTTTCAGTGTATACAATGTTGACGAAGCCAGATCGTCAGATCCACGAATCAAATCTCTGGTATTTTCTGTTTAAATAATTTAAATAATTTGTTATAATATAATATATAATAAATATAATACAATAAACATAAATTTGTGTATAAAATATATAAAGTTTATACAAAAATATATAAATTTACAATGTAAATTTAAATAACTTTATAAATTTATAAAATTTCACTCACATCCACCATTTTTTTCCCATTTCTTCCATTCTCTTACCAATATTCGTACATTTTAATAATTTATATAGCTAAAATCCATTGAAATTTATAAAGTTATTTAAATTTATATTGCAAATTTATATATTTACAATATATATTTGCAGCGACTCGATTCAATTTGTGCGATAACTATTGCTGAAAAATTTTTTCTTATCGTTAGTTCTTATTATTTTTTGAAAATTTCTCAAATTTACTGCTTGCAAAATTTTTCGCCAAAATTTAAATATTTTCATTTAATTTTATTTGTCACAAAAAAATTCAATTCTTACTTTATTTTTAATTTTTTTATTTTATAAATTTTTATTTTCATAAATTATTGCTTAAAAAGAAACATATTTTACATTTTGTATTGTATTCAGTGCAGAGAATCAGGAATCGTTCAGCGATATTCACTTCCGCAAATCGTACTCTTAGGCGCTTTTAGCATTGGATTGCATGCAAAAAAAATCGAACTGAATTGCAATGGAACCCGACTTGCTGCTCTTTCATCTTCAGGATTGAAACTTTTCGAACTTACTGAAAATAAAATTGTATCTGGGAATTTTGAACGCAAGGATATATGGAATTTCAAATGGGATTCGGTGAATAATTCTCAATCGTTTTATCATAATATTTTCCAAATAACTTGTGAACAGAAAACTTTGCTTGCAATAAATTATCATACTTAATATATCATAAATGGAAAACAAAGGGGAGATTGATTGAGATTATTCTCTTCTTTTTATATGATCCCCATTTTTTCAATAATAATTATGGGCTATCTGCAGCCTTTTTTAAGAAGAACTTTCACCATTACTTAGACTTGCTCCGCTGATTTATCGCAGTAAGCAAATATGCCAGAGAGTCCTTTGGTGATAGAAGTGCAGTTAAATTCCCATCATCAGCCGAATCAAAATCGCAGCATTGGCGCACCACGGATTGAGCTATTGTGCGCCCCTATCTGCTACAGATATTTAAATTATAAAACTGTCTGAAGTTTCATTTGTTTTCATTGAAATGTTATTTAGGATAAGGATGATTCGATAGCAGTCTTGGAAAAATCACGTCTGTACGTGGTGCGAAATGCAGAAACTGAAGAGTCAACCATCAACAATGGTTATATAGGTTCATTTCGAAACTTAACAATACGAACCATTCTTCTGGACGAAATTATGAAGAATCCTGAAACGCCTCACAAATCATGCATAGTTGACGTCGAAATCAAGGTTTCGACATTTTTTTACTTTTTAGTAAAGACAGATAGCAGAAATAAAATATTATATCGATGCCAATATTCCCCCATATTTATGTTTTTAGTCTCTTCGTGATGCTAAAAATTTGCTAGAGAAAATGAAAATTCAAGAAGCAGCTGCTTATATCGAAAAGAAGAACCATCCTAAGCTGTGGGCATTGTTGGCTGAAGTTGCTTTAAATCAACTCAATCTTGAAACTGCTGAACATGCTTTCGTAATGCTCAAGGATTATGGTGGCATACAATTCATAAAACGCATTAAAGCCATTCAAGTATTTGTAATTTTGGGCCAAATTTGCATGCAAATTTCTAACTACCTCAATAATCTCCAATATCGTTGTAATTCATTTTGAAGCACTTTGATAAAACTATGGTTTTAAACGAATTTTAAACTGCGATCTCTAGAAACAAAAAATGTATAAAAAACCTGCCTGTATTGCTACAAAAAATTATTTATCATTTATCACTAATCATTTAAGAAATAACTATAGAATGACGATTTTAAAAGAGCGGAAATTGCAATTTTTTATGGAAAAGTGGAAGAAGCGGAAAAAATTTACATGGAAAATGATCGAAGAGATCTCGCAATTGCTGCTCATCAAAAATTGAACAATTGGTTTCGTATAATGGAAATCGTCCAAAGGCGAACCGAACCAGGCGATGATGAGCTCTTGAAGAAAGCTTGGAACCATGTTGGCGATTATTACGCTGAGAGACAAAATTGGTATGAAATTAAATAATTTTCGCTTATAATAAAATTATTTTAGTGAGAAATGTATGTATACATTTCCTATTTTTTGAATTTTGAATTTTGAATATTTTTTGAATTTCGCTTTTTTTCATTAGATACAATTTGAGGAAGAAAATAATTTTTAGAAACATCAAAATTACCCTATAGAAATTAGGCTAAATGAAAAATTAACTATTCAGGTCAAAGGCCTCAAAATATTTCGAGAATTGCGAAAATTATGAAAAATTAGCGCAATGCCATTTAATGAATGAGGATTATGACGGCCTAGAATTTCTTGCGAAATTATTACCGGATGAACATAATTTATTAATGGTAAAATTTAAAAAAAATATATAAAATTCCTTTCTGCATTTCTTTCTTCAATTGCACGCTTAAATCCTTAATAATTTATGAATAGAACATTATCAGTAATTTAAATTAAGTGGTTATTACCTATTATTTTCTGGCTAAATAGTTGGAAAGCAATTATTGCCGAGCAGTCATTTGGTGAGACAGATGCAGATGGGTTGCTAGCACCTCTAGGATTTTTTAATGATAGATTTATTCTTGTCGGAAGCAAGGGCAAGTCTTGCGGCTCAGCATTCCTACTACTGAAAAAATCACAAGTAATAACAAAAGTGTAATTTTAGACTATCGGTGAAATTTTTGGTAATGCCGGATTATGCGAACAAGCAGTTAATTGCTATGTCAGAGTACGAATTCAATTCAAACGCTATTTCGTGTTTTTTTTGAATTAATTCAAAAACAGCTTGGCTCAATTTCAAAATAGTCTCCATTTTAATGAAAGCCAAAGCGAAATAGCCAAAGGCTCGATTTTTGTTTCTCAGTCATATTCGCTTTTTTTTTTCAGTGTGGCAAGGTAAACGATGCTTTGGATATTTGCGTACAATTAAATCAATGGGACTATGCCGTACAATTATCGAAAATCCATCATCTAAGAGATATCGATTCACTTCTTGGCAAATATGCGGAACAATTTGCTGGTAATTAAATAATTAGAAAATTTTTTTTTGAAAAATTTTTTTCATAATTTTTAAGGTAAATTCTTTTTTTTTTAGGAAGCAATGAAAGAACATTGGCTGTAGTGCAATTATATCGACGAGCCGGACGTTTCCTCGATGCAGCAAGAACGATTTTTAATGTGAAAAATTTATCACTCAGTTTTTTTATTAAAAAAATAAATTAGCTTATATTTTTCCATTTAAAAAATTTCATCTCATCTCCATTATCATTGATCCATCCAAAAAAATTTAATTATATTTGTTAGTTGAAAACTCATATATGTTGTCTTTTTTTTGATATTATACTGATAATATAGATTGCAAATGATGAACGCAGTAAACAAGCCCAGCCACTTCGCCTCAAAAAACTCTATGTTCTTGGGGCACTTCTTGTTGAAGAATATCATGAACAGAGCAAAGCAGAAATAACCAAAGAAATAAAAAATGGATCAAAGGTTTAATTTATGGGTCAAAAAACTGGAATCAAAAAAAACATTGCTGATAATTTTTTTGTATGATAAAAAAAAGTTGATAATTGATAAAAAAAATTGAAGGTTGATAATCTAAATTTATATGATAAATAGTGGTGATTAATTATGATAGGATAGATAGATCGCATAAAATTCGTTGCATTCAGATGAAATCTTCTTTTTGATTATGACTTATTTTTTATATTTTTTTTATGTAATATATCTCAATTTTAGGCTGAAATTTCACTAAAAGGTTTATTGGAAGATGATAAAAAATTATCAATGGCAGATACGTCTCTTATTGATAATGCTTGGCGTGGTGCTGAAGCTTATCATTTTTATATGCTTGCACAGCGTCAATTATTTAGTGGTATAATTTTGATGTAATAAAAAATAAGCAATTATTTGACGAATTCGAAAAATTTTTCATTGATTAGATAGTTGGTGATAATTGCTTTGATCCAACTCAGCTCAGTAGAAGGCATCATTTTTGCTTTGATTGCCTTCATTAGCTATTTTGGGCGAGGAAAGTTCTGCCAGACGATTAGAATCTTGAAGACAGAAATTAAGGCCAAAGCAGCATTTACTTAATAAAATTGGAATAACAAATATAAAATTTTATTAAAAAATATGTTTTTATTTTAGGCAATGTAGATGCAGCGATGAAAACAGCGCTATATTTAACAGATTTCGATGATTTTATTGAATCAGTTGAAATTTATTCATTGTTAGGTAAATTATTTATAAATTCTAAAATAAAAATATAAGGTCGATAAATTCTAAAAAAATGACTAACGCTCACGTTATTCGTGGTTTAATAGTTGTTTAGTACAGTTAGGAATTTAGAAATTTTTTCAAAAGGGTCAGTTGGCGATAGAAGTACCAATGTGTCATTAGTTTTTAATAGCAAGTTTACTCCTCTAAGGATTAGAGAATCGGACCTGAAACAAGTTAAAACAAGCAGACCACTCGACTTCCCATATATGCAAACCTAGTTTTTCAGGTTCCTTCACTTATTTCTAATTATCAGATTAGAACTTTCGAAAAAAAATCTATCAAAACTACATTGATACTATAAGGACCAATCTTTTAGCACTTACTAGCTGTATGGCTCGACAATTCGCTGTTTGCAGTCGCGCTTTTATAAAACTCGAATCGTTGATTAATATTTCATCTCAGGAAAGAGAGGCCTATAGTAAACTCGCACTCAATATTTTTATAAAGTATTTTTTAAATTCAAATTATGAAAATATTTTTACAAATTTTTTTCCAGAAAATTCTAGCAGAAAATACTATATATAATACGCTGATACTGTGCAAAACCCTCAGGTTTCTCAGGCTTCTGCGCACAATCCTTGATCTTTGGTAGAGGATCGGAAGATGATCGTGACAATCCATAGGGTGGTGAATGAAATATATATATGTAGATATATATATATATATTTTATATATCTATATATTTTAAGGTATTCTCCAGTGAATACTCATGTAACAAAGGTGGAATGTACAGGTTGCAATGAACTTATTCCGGATTTTTGCCAAGTTTGTCCATCTTGCGATACAAAATTTCCAATTTGCATTGTTACTGGAAGACCACTTTTAGATTTTCAATTTTGGTTATGTCCAACATGCAAACATCGCGCTTATGAACAAGAAATAATGTCGTTTCGTTTTTGCCCTCTTTGTCATGCAGACATATAATAATTTATGACTTATTTTTGTATTTTATATTTTTTTACTAAGTTTTTTTTGGAATCAATGAATAAAAGCAAATTTTTTAAATGTTAAAATTTTTTTTATCTAAACTTCCAGAAGAAAACTTATTGTTTAGTAGAAGTTATGGAGAAAAGAGATTTTTCATTAACCATTATTAGCCTGATTAAATTAGTGATTTGGTTCAAATTGCTTACGGTTGATTACAAAGCGTTGGTCCTTCAGTGCATTCCTAATTATTAGGGTTTCTCTGAAAAAATAATTTCTGTGCAAAAAAAAATGTTTTGTTGCTATAAATAATTAATAATAATAATTATAATGGTAATAATAATAATTATGATAATAAATTAATTTTTATTAATTATCAGTCATAACAACTGATAATAACGATAATAAATGATAATAAATTAATAGTAACAATGCCAATGATAATAATTAATAATAATAAATGATAGCTAACAATTAATAATAACAATAATAAATAATCAAAATAACAATAACAGTGATAATTATAATAATCTCAAAAGTTTGTGTAAATTAATTGAGGAAAAAATATACTCATCATTCAAGTGAAAATATTCATCAAGTTTTTATAAATTATTTAAATGCTTATATTATATATTATATTATATATTATAATGCTTATATTTTATATATAAAATAATTATTTTAATAATTTTTTTCTTTCAACAAGATTGGTCAATTCATCGATAAATTATAATTTTTCTTTAATTTATTCATCATTTATTCAAATAAATTTTAACCACAAAAAATATTTATCAGTTTAATGATAAAAGTGATAAGATCCTTTTTACCATTTCAATTTTCACTAAAATGAATAAATTTTTTAAATAAATAATTATTTATGAATAAAGAATGGGAATAGAATTCGATGCGATGAGATGCGATGCAATTCGATTTTCATCTAGAATATTACTTGCGAGACAATATGAAAAATTGTGATGTGATCGTAAAATGAAGAGAAAAAAGAACATAGAAATATATATATGTATAAAAATATGTGTATAAATATATATATATACGATAGCAATATGAATTAATACCACGAGAAATGATGGAAAGACCAGTGGGATGTAAAATTGTAAGAGCATTAAACAAACTCATGAAACACACAAGTGCACCACACAGCATCACACGAGCACCAACACTATCACCGTTATTATCATCATACATCACTGGATTGCTCATCGATCTCATCATACATTTACCATCGCATCTCGCTTTTCATTTTCTCCTTACACAATTTTATTTTATTCATATATATAAGTACGCAATTATTCTTTCGATTTTTGCATTCTTTCTTTTTTTTAAATATCAATTTATGATTGAGTATTTATCAACGCTGAAGTGATTTTTCTGATTAGTGATTTTCACCATCATTTCTGGAATTCATCACTAATTAGTGATTTTCATCACTATCCAGTGATATTATCCCATATTTATCAATGATTAGTCATCATCATCATTTGTGGAATTCGTCTCTATTTACCACTATTTAGTGATTTTAATCATATCCAGTGATATTCCATATTTATCACTGATTAGTGATTTTCATCATCATTTGTGGAATTCATTACTATTTAGTGATTTTAATCATATCCAGTGATATCATCCCATATTTGTCACTGATTAGTGATTTTCTCACCATCTGTGAGATCAATCACTGGAAGTCCTATATTTATCACTGATTAGTGATTTTCATCACCGTCTGGGATATTAATCATTGAAAATCCTATATTTATCACTGATTAGTGATTTTCACCACCATCTGTAATATTCATCACTAGAGATCGAATATTGATCGTTAGTTAGTGATTTTCATCACCATCTATGATATCAATCACTGGTTACTGAATTTAATCACCTTTTGTTTTCTGCATTTTGAAATTCTTATTTAACAAATAAATTAACTAATAATTCTTAGTCATGTAAATCATCTATTGCTAATAACTTATCTATAAAGATAAAAATAATTTTGTTGAATTTATATCTGATTATCTAATCATAATCTTTTTTTGATAGTAACTTCTTCTAACAGCTCTCACTTTTACTGTTTAGGCTGGCTATCAGAGTAAGCTTCCAAACGGCGCGGTCTGATGCCATCGTCGACAGTAGTAGAAGACATTCCTTTTTCCATCATCTAAGTCCCTATATTGCTGATCCATCTATACGTTCAAAATCTTTCCTGTATCAGTCCAGGTCTTGACTAGCCCACCTCGCTTTTGACGCCAATCATCACACAATTTAGCAAGTAACGAAATATGTGACAACTCTTGCTGTGGACAACGCTTCGTGATAACATTATTAATACAGGTAGTATTTGAACGAAAGTGGATGCGATCATATGATATTTTATCCGCTCGACGGACCCGTAAAATATACCTTAGAAAAGAGTGGTCAAAGGTAGATAATTTCTTAACATCTTCCACTGTCATTGGCCATGTCTCAGAGCCATATAGCAAGATCGAACGAATCACGGCTATATAGATGGTGCGAACTTTTGTTTTAATGATAATTTCACGACGGCTCCATAAAGGTTTCGTCAATCAGAAGAATTCATTTCTAGCTGCTGTGATCCAGGCTATAATATCGTCTTTTGCCTGGCCATTTGGTATTAGAGTGGACCCAAGGTATTCAAAATCGGGAACTTCTCGACCGGCAATGAATTTATAAAAAGAGGCATTTTATCAGCTTCTTGTACATAAGAAAAGACTTTCGTTTTGTGTATATTGACCCTGAGTCCTATTCTTGCTGCACTTTCTTGCACGTTATTTAGCATTACTAGCATTATTAGCATTTAGCATTATTAATCATTTCGTCATAAAGAAAAACAGCAAAAAGGACTACATCATCAACATATTCAAGATTTGTGATACGATGCTCTGGATTGATTTGGACCCTTGAGTGCCGACAAGCGGTATCCTTTACCTAGTCTATCGCATAGTCGAATATTGTAGGGTAAAGGATGCAAGCTTGACGGACACCAGTTCTTATTTCGAAGGAGTCTGTTATTTCCAAATATGCACCTACGTACGCTTATAAAATATAGCAACTATTGTGATATTCCTTTGCCATATCAGTTGTGGATGTGTTCTTTAAACCACCCGGATGCCATTTTTAATGATAGCTATATTCTTATTACTAATCGTATTACTGAAGAAGAAATTGAATCTATAATGACTTTATAAATCAAGGCAACCACGTCAGTTCAATGTTATTTAAAAGAACGTTAATGATATTTTAGGGATGATGATCGTTTTATATGAAATATTTCATTTATATTTTGTCATTGAATAAGGTCTCCCGAATTCTTCCATCTTTTAATGGAACCCGAATTTGTTTCATCTCAGTGTGGAACTCGAAAATTAGTGATTAACGGATTTACATATGTATGTCAACGGAAAGGTGAGAGACGTACACACTGGCGATGTGATCGTTATCAGAAGGATAAATGCAGAGCAACTGCTTTAACGGAAAACGGAAAAGTTTGTATTTTTACTTTAAAGAATAAATTTATATGCATTCATTGTTTGTCTAACCGACGAGTATGTAGTATCACCTGGATTTCACCTTTAGTAGTAGGTTTACTTCCTAGATGTTTGATTTCATTTGAAGTAGCCATTCCTACCACTCGGAACCGACCGGATGCCCTACCTTTATGGGAACATGAAATATCATCTAGTTCTGTATTAATGCAGCTAAAAGCATCTAGAATTTTCATTTTTTTCGAAAAATTCTCTGAAATTTCTATAGAATGATATATTGTATGGTAGGAGAAGCGATGCATTGCTTAGATCCATTTTTCTTTGATAATAATAAACCAGTGAATAATCAGTCATCAAAAAATGTTGATGATTTTGGGGATATATCTTTCTAAAAACTAAAATTTATTTCTAATATTTCAAAATAATTATCTGGCGAAACTGCTCTAATTGCCTGAAAAAGTTTGGTCCATCCTGATTGAGTGGAAGCCCATAAATGATGGTCTATGGCCTATGCTATTTTAAAGAAAAGTTATGCTATGTTTCTGCCATCAGTGTATATGCTCTATATGCTCCAATTTTGGCCACGGCAAGGATAAATTCTTTGCGGAACTTCAACTATTAGCAATATCGCTATCGAAAAGTGATATGATCATAATCAGGAGAGATTGCAGCACGTATCAGTTGCAATGCCGCCACAGTGAACGCAGTGATTGGCAAATATTGCATCGGGTCCGGTGCATCCATCAGGAGTACTCATTCTTCACTTTGCCCAAGAGCATAAACTTTTTACTTTGAACTTTGTTACTACTGTGTGCTTCCAGCATCAGAAAAGATTGCATCTAGTTGCATAGAACTGACTCTTCGGATAATCACCACTCCGATCAGATTGATTATATCCTAATCAGTTAGAGGAATTCATACTATATAGTCATACTTATCTTGGCGCTGAAACTGTTAATTTTCATGGATCAGACCATGTTATGGTTCGAGCTAAAATTCGAAGAAAATTAATAAAACATAACATCTCCCAAGATCTTTCAACTTAATGATTTGGGAGCAATACGAGCATTTCAAACCGATTTATTGAAGCATTTCAATGATATAAATATTAGCGACATCTCTGGAGCAGCAGAAGATTACCGGTCGCGCATATTTTCGCAAGTCATCTTCTTTCATGCTGGGATTTGCTAGAAGGGTAATTGCATACCAAAAGCAGGTGTCCGGAGAGTTGTTAGAAGAAAAAGAATTAACTGTTAATGAAATTAAGTAGTATCGTTTTTTAAATTTGATAAGCGCAGTTTTACCTGAAAATAAACTAAATTTTTTAAAATTTCAGGTGCATATCAAACATGCAACTCATAATCATCCAGCAAATACGTCCATATTTGTTTCAAAGCGACTTTATAGCAAATTGAAAATGGCGATGCTACAGTCATCTGAATCAGTACCAGAAATAATTCGACGTGTGCTGAGTATGAATAATGAGGAAGCAGCAATCGCAAAATTGCCCACTTTCGAGACTCTTTGTAATTCGATGCGTAAATTTCGAGCGAAAGTTCAACAGGCTCGAGCAAATCAAGCTACTGACCCAAGTGTCTTCAGTGTCTTCAGTGTCGATCCGAGGTTAAGCTCAACCAATAATGATTTGTATAATGCATCTTCTGCTGAAGAATCTTTTGGTATCAATATCGACGGTTTAAATTTGTCGAATATAGCGGAATTCAACAGCGGATCAGCTGGAACGCGATTCGATGAACCAAGTAAATTTTTATTGTACACTTTAATAATTCAATTTATTAGAGAATTTATTCCAGTATACCGTATTTATTCCATGATTAAGCAGAGAAGTTTTATACATAATTCTTATCAGCTAAGAAAGCAGAAATCATTTATAATATATAATAAGGAGGAAAGTAAGAGGCTGAGGATAGAATGGTTTTGTGGGTTGTTGCTTAATTTGGAGCGCCAATACTAAGGCTCTATTTCAAGCAAGAGTAATCCTATCCAAAAATCTGGCTGATGCTGGCGGTTCACCTGTACTTTTATCGCCAAGGGATTCTCTGGCATTATTTGTCCAATGTGATAAGCCAGCGGAGTGAGTTTAACCGGTAAAAAAAAGTAAAAAAAAAGTAAGTGGTCAGCACATTCATCATTTCTTAGTTTGTTACGCTATCTATTGGTGAGATGAGATAACCAAATAGTCGAAAAGTTTCGCTAATTTTGATAAAAATTCTCAAAAATCCACATTTTTTAAAATTTCCATTCAAATCCTTTATGTATTTATCAAAAAACTTAAAAATCTAAAAGAAATTCTTTGTAAGACTTTATTTAGTTATGGAAGATGTTGTGGCTACGAGCTCTACGTCTCAGGCTGGTGATAAGGCTGATAACAGCGAAATGATGGAGTATAAAGTCTTTGAAAATGCAAAGACACAACTAGAAAACTGGGTATACGTTTCTTTTTATAGATCATTCATCCTCTTACATAAATTTAGGAATATTTATTAATCTTTTGAGAGGTTTTTCCGGAAGTGAAAAACGCAAATCATTTTGTTCAATTTTTTTATTTTTCAGATTAGAAAAAACTTGGCCTAATTTAAAGATTTTAATTCGGAATTCGGATACGAAATTCCGAAATTCACATATGAATTTTAAAATTATATTTTTTATAATTCGCCAATTTTTCTTCTTACTTTCATTGTTTTAAGTGTTCCGAAATCACCGAGGATCCGGAATTTCGCGCGAGCATAAAAAAGCAAACTGAACAAAATTCAGCATTATACAAGTTCATCCATTGTCCTCTTCTTGACAGAATTACGCTGGTAAAAAATATTTCATTTTTTTCTTTTTTCGGTCAATAGAATGGCTCACTGGGTTGTTGCATGTTCAATTCAGAAAATACGATTTCTGAAATTTCCCATAGGAGTAAACCTGTCCAAAAATCCTCATGATGTTTGCGACTCATCTATATTTCTATCGCCAAGGCATATCCTTGGCGTATTTGTCCAGTGTGACAAGCCAACGGAGCGAGTCTAACCAGAAATGGTGAGAGTTTTTAATGGAAAAAAGAAATAAAATTGAAGTTCTCTATTTAATAATTCATTTCAAAATTTTAAATCAATTTCGAATTTTAGGAACGCAAACAGTTATGCAACGTTAGAAAAATAGCTGAATCCTCAATATCACGGAGGTCAATAATGGCAATGTTTTCGAATAACGATGAACCAAATAATTCCAGCAATGAAGTACCACATTCCTATAATAAAATGGAATTTTAGTAATTAAGAGCTTACGCCATTTAAGATATAATAAAAGTATTAAAAATCTGGTTCTGGTAGTATTTCAATTTATCGTATTTGCTGACAGTAATAAAAATATAAAAAACTTTTTTCTTCCCTCTTATGGGTGGTCATAATCAATCTCGAGTCTTTTACCAGAGGGCTGGGAGATTCTACGCAGTATCTCACAATGCACTATTCTGGATGGGGATCTTCCTGGAATCTTCTGAATATAAATTTTTAATTTTATTCACCAAAAATTATTATAGTATTACAATTCGTGTACGTATGCAGAATTGGTGCAGTATAGACAACTCGAAATACCTTTTCTTATAGAATTTTTAACGAAAGCTTTCACCGAATTGAGCCATTTAGAAAAGGATATTAAGGTCAGTTGCACCTAATTTCCAGTATAATTTCGATATAAGAGTGCTCGTAAACAGACAGCTTAATTTTAAAACATTAATTGACAGACTTCACTATTTTGAAAGAGCAAGGAACAAATTCATGGTACTTGAGGTTCATCTATTGCAGGTTTCAATTTTTAAGAATTTCGCGCCTTATTTTTGGTTAATTGAAATTGGTTATTCATCAATTAATTTCGAAACTGGTTCAAGGAGACTTATTGTTTCAATGTTGCGTTATGTCGATTCAGTTTGTCTTCCAGATTTTCTCGAAAAAAAGAAATCCAGTGAAAAACTAATGAGGTTACTCTTTTTTTCTTCTTCTCATAATATTCATATTAATAATTTCATGAATTTTCTATTTTTGATTTTGAATTTTCAATTTTCAGTTCATTTTGTGAATTATTTGACGGAATTCACGAACATATTGTGGTACCAATGCAATCTATGAAAATTTTAGAAGGGGAATTCGCTTTGCTTGTTGCTCTCCTTTTATCGGAATCCGGTTTGTCTTTTTGCTCAAAAAATAATTTAAATTGCAATTTAATTCTTTTTTAAATAAAAGATTTTCTTTAAAAAAGCAAAACTTGTTCATAATTTTTTTGTAGGAAAGGGTAATAAAGATATTTTATTACTCTAATTTTTAAATTTTAACTTTACTAATATCTAAAAAATAAACTCTGGAAAGCGCTAAAAGTTTTGCAGCATTGTCTAATGATTCTTCACTAACCAGGCCGAGCACTACTTAAATTTACGAGGTTTCAGGTGCAAAATTGGATTCAAACGATGATCTTGTCGCTATTCGTGATAATGTACTTCGTGAAATTGAGAGTTATTATCGTTTTAACAATATTGAATGTTATGCTTTTCGTATTGCCGCTTTAGTTCGAATGACTTTCTTTGTTATGGTTAGTTGTTTTTTTTTTGTTATCCGATTATTTGATTATATCATTCATAATGAAAAATAAGAGGAGGAATTACTGAGATTTGTTGAAAAAGATGAAGTGTGATTATTAAATTGGGACTCGACTGTTTATTTTTCTCTAACGATATACCCATTTGTGATTTGGCTTGTTCTGTTAGTGATATGATTAGTTGTATTGGGTGATTAAGATATGGCTTCCACGCTAAACATTCATAAGGGATAAGGGAAGGGATAGTCAGCAGCATCATAACACCTAAGATATCTTCATTTTTAATGATAAATTTGCTGTCGTAAAGAGATAGAGACCTATAGGTGATTAGATGATATAACAGTTTATCAGATCGTACTGCTCTTAATTAATTACTTATCAGTTTTCTTTATTATTCCAATAAATTTTCATTTATTCTTAAATTATTCTATTATTTTATAAATATTTTATTTTAGGAACTCAGGAAACAATTTTCGAGTCAAATGGAAGAAATTTCTGTTGATAATGTTTTTGAAGTTGCCCCATTTTTTTGAAAAGGAAAAAAAGATTGATTTTTTTCTTGCATTCCATCTAGTCGATTATTTTATTAATATGTAATATGTAAACCATGAATAAAATTTATAGGGTTATTTTCATATTTTTTCTGCATATATTATTAAAAATTATCATTTCATTTGATTGTCACTATTACAATTATCATTTCAAATTATCATTTTCTATCATTTCTTGAATTTTTTAAAAGATTCATCTTCAAATAGTATTAACTGTTTTTAATGACAAATTTTCTGTTAATGATATGATTAGTTGCATTGGGTGATTAAGATATGGCTTTGATGTTGAATTGATTCTACTGGCTGTTAGCTTATCGCATACTCGAATTTTACTTTTAATAATTTCACCTTTGTTTTAACTTCTTACATATTCCAGGAGGAGATTATTCATGCGTATAGGAAAAGGAAAATTGTTTAAAATATTTTAATATTTTTTCTAAATTAACTAAAAGTTATAAAATATGCATAATAAGGGAATATAATTTGCTTTAGAATCATTTCAGTTTTAGGAAATGTTGAATAAATCCATTCACAAATACTATGAAAAAATGTTATCAAAAATTGTCCTTGGATTTGTTCGATTCCATTATCAATAAGAATCCTAGAAATTAAATTTTTTCAAATTTATAAAAATTTTATCTCGAAGAACATTCAGAATGAATAAATTTTGAAAATTTCGAGGCATAGAATAGAATATATTTGGATTAATAGAAGTAGTGAGCAATTTTATTTTCACTAAAGTTCCATTGGAACTATGAAGAATTCTAAATTTTGATTCACTTAATTGAGAGTAGATTATTAGATTATTTAAATATTATAAAATGGTGCAAAATGAAATACTTCATTGATATTGCATTTTTTGGTTCCCTAATTTTATTCGCATTACATTTGGCTGTTTGGTGCCGTCCTATAGTTTCTGATTTTACAAAATAAGCTCCTAGGTCTTGCATTCGTTTAAATTTTGAAATACCCGTTGCACCGCCATCGAATTGCATTAACGACGGTAATTTCTTGTCCTTCATCGTATGCCATCGCCAATTACTAATTATTCTAAATTAATTTTGTTGTTTTCATTTTTTTTTTTCCTTTTTATTATCGTTTTGATTTTGGTAATATGGTTTTTCTCTTCTTAAACTATAATTTTTTTATGTCCTAAAATATCCTAAAATGAAATATAAATAAAAATTATAAATTATGCAGTATTATTTAGTTGCATTGGGCTTATCAATACGTTCTTACTGATAAGGTATAAATGAGCATCGCGATCCTTTAAAAATGGTTCTACATAGTGCACCCATAATGTTGTTATCAGTTGAATAATAATTTAGAAGACGTCTTGAGAGTTCATTAAAAAAAGCTGTAGACCTGTAAAAACAATATTTTTAACCTTTTAAATTGAGTAAGTAAGGGATTAATACCCAAATATGTTGGTTTTGTCCCCCTAGTCATCAATATGATAAAAATTTTTTTGCCATAAAATCACTTGGCGATAGAAGTGTAGGTCATCCATCAACTATTCGACTTTTTAATGAAATATTTTCTGTTAGAGACGAATTCTTGCCTAGGAGCACAAAAATCTCCGCCACTAGCTATTACATCTTTTCCCTAAATGTATAAAAAGGTTTATGGGGATAAATTACTTCACTTTTAGGAGTTATTTGGGTTAAATTACTTTACTTTTCTTGAAACACAATTATCCTAGTTAAATAAATTAAGGGAAGATGACTATGAAGGTACCCAAATTTTCAAAATCCGCATTTAATAAACAAGCTAAATTCGAGCTCGATTTTCCATGAGAAAAGATAGACGATGGAAATTTCAAATAGATTCAAGCGTATAGAAATACCTATAGCCGGCTTTGACGAAGAAATTACCTCCTGCAATCATATCAGCGAGAAGACCTTCGTTACCTTCACGATCAAATAAAAGATCCGATTCGATAATTGATTCTTTTAAATCTAATTATTATTAGATAAATTAAATGATTACAATGATAACTTCAAGATAATATCAGTAAATGGAGCTAAGCAAAAATAATCCAGTTAGCTGCTTATTATTAATTCAGCAATAATAAATAAATTCGATTCTTTACAGGATTGTCGACATTTCAGCAAAATTGAAATCCGAGCCTTGATTCTCCATTAAAAGAGGGTCTCATTCTAATATTCAGTGGAATTAGCCAAACCAAAAATGGTGAATGATGCTAAAAAAAATAAAAAATTTCCAAATTTCTGCAACTATACCATCAAATCAACAAAATCAACAAATATATATATGATGAAAATTAAGAAACCTCACCATTTCTGGTTAGGTTTATTCCGCTTAACTTGTTGGACTAAACAAGTTTAGCTAGGCAGTCATACGTGTAAAAGTACACGTGTAATCAAGAGCAGCTACGTACACCCGGATTTTTGACGAACAAGTTTATTTTTGCCAGCGTGGAACACAACCCTGGCAGATGAGAGCAACAATCCAATGAGCCATTTTATCGCATATAACAGATTAAATATTAGTATATAAATATGAGAAAAATAGATGAAAAACGTTAAACTACCAATCACATCAAAAAGATTTTCTCTCCAATATGTATCAGCTTGAAGCATCCAAAAACTGATTCCATTTGCTGCTAAATAGGAACAAAGATTCGACCGAAACAACTGAAACATTTGGTAACGACCATCTCCAACATGAAATTGCTTATCCTGCAAAACAAATTCATAGAATCAAGAAGAAAATCCAATCGTGAACTTGTGGTTAGTGAGAAAAATTGGCACATGCATCTCCGCTCTAGCTTATTATCATTATAACGTTACAATAAGAAAGAGATAGCAGCAAGTGGTTTCGATACACCGGCATCTGGGTTATGGGCCCAGCAATCTTCCATCGCACCCCGACATATCTTGGCACAAATAATTATTTTATAAACCTTTATTATCATCTTTTTACTTTTATATTTATCTTATTTTTACTTTTTTTGAAGAGGTAATTGTAGCTAAATATATATACAAAAAATCTGGATTTGAAAGGGGTTTAAAAGAAACTATTATGTTGAAGTTTACCTGTGTTCTGAGATATTAAACAAAACAGAATTTGCACAAGATGCCGACAATAATGGAATTTGGAAGAGGAGGAGGAGAAGGATGATATGGGGGATGGTTTTAGACTGTGATAAGGGAGAATAAGAAAGGGGAAAAGGGAGATGAAAAAAAAGAATAATGAAGGATAATAAGCTTTATAGCGTAAAAGAATATAAAATTTGATAAGATGGATGTTGAGGGAGTAAATGAGTGAATTGATAAGATTACAAAAATATTTGGTATTATTTACTATAAATGAATATATCCTACTTTATAATCTTATAACGAGGATATTTAGTTTGCTTATCCGAGCGCCTGTCCCAAAATTTGCTATCCTAATGAGTGGGTTGTTGCTCGATTGGGAGCGTCGATGCTGAAGTTCCATTCCCCGCCGGAGTAAACCTGTACAGTAAAAATCGGGGTGATGCTGGTGAATCACCTGTGTTTTCTATCGCCAAAGGACTCTCTGGCTTATTCGTCTAGTAAACTGCGACAAACCAGCGGAACAAGTCTAATCACTGATTAATCAATGTGAGGGTTCTTTTAAAAAAAAAAGTTTATATGGAAAATTAAGTAACCATAATAGTTAGTCTCCAGTTAATCACATTCAACTCTGGCCAAGATTCTTTTATTTTTCCATACGAGTAATCATCGAAAGCAAAAATTATTGTTCGTCGATGGACATTTTCAAAAGTTGCAACGTTGCAAAGCCAGTTCAATGTTAGATTGAGTGCATGCTTGAAAGTTTTCAGCAATTTACTTTGAAATTGTAAATATAGCTGATTACGAATTTTTTTTATTAGCTTCATCACTTAATTTGCTTTCATTAAAAGTAACTCAGTCGAAATTTGCACTAAAAAAAGACACGATGGCCAAGTGACTTAGTATTGAAAGAGGTGGATTATTCGTATTTGTAGGCGGGTGACCGACCCCAGTGAAATTTCACTAATCACACTAATAACATGTAGAACAAGTGATATCTTATTTAGTAAATTTTAAGTGGAAAATAAGCGACTCTCAGGACACGTACTGGCACCGAGAACCAAGGCTTTTATTTGAACCTCGCTAACGGACCATGATCAGGGTTGTATAACGGAGAAAATAGTGATAAATAATAGGTTATTGCCCCGTTCAGAGTGTCGATGTTGAGGTTTTACTCCTCGTAAGAGCAAATTCTCCTTCGAAAATCCGTTTCTATTGTCAAATGATTAACTGGCAAAATTTGTGTAATCCCACCAGTCAGCGAGGATCGAGTTTAACCAATAATGGTGAGTGCTCTTTAAAAAAAAACCTGAGCACCACACTCGAATGTAATTAAAACTGGGATTATTAAAAATTAATTGATAAAAGGATATTCAACAAACAATTCTCGGACAATCATTGTTCATAAGGCAAACTGCTGATTCGAATCCGTTTTGTCCGTAAAATAGCCTTTTGCTTTCATCGCTTCCGTCTATGAAAGGATGGTGCGTTCATCGGATTCAGACCCAAACCATTTCCAGTGCATTAAAATAATACTACCACGAAGTCACCGAATCCGTCTGCTGGTACACCCCGCTTTCTTCAAGAGAGAATGAAATGACGAAAGCAAAAAGCTATTTTTCGCATCGGTCCATTTTCCACTCTTGTTAGTTTTATCCATGGGTCTTTTTGTTTCCTTCATTTATTCAATAACAAGAGTTTGGCTCTTGCTCAGCTATTATTTCTTTTATGGCTGTTGTCGAATCATTATCATGTGAATCTATTGACTAAACCACAGACCCAACAGCTGGACAAATGATTGCTGTAAAGTTTGCATCAGAACCAGTAAGTCCTATCAACAATTATTGTCAAAATGATCAGTAAACCTTATCAACAATTATTGTCAAAATGATCAGTAAGGAATCAATTAATGAAGTGAAGATTGATAAGGTACTTTTTATTAGCTCATAAAGATGATTGCATAGTCTTATGGACATAAAATCAAAAGATTCACACGATAATAAGCTAATAACTATGTCGAAAAATGAGAGAAGCAATGGCTGAAGAAGAACCAATTGAGTAATAAGGAGTTTTCATTAATTGAAGCTCAATGAAGAAAATAAAGAGATAAAGAGCCCTGTGGATAGAGCCAACAAAAATTCCAAGAATGGAATGTCTGGGGGTCCTTTTGCCTTCGTCGTTTTGCGACAGCAATATTTAATAAATTTTACCAAAACGATTGACTTACTCGATTCAACAATAAAATTGCTGGATCGTCATTCATTGTTCGCAGAATCTAGAAATTCAAAAGCAAATAAATTTTCGCATCGCAATATTTCAGTAGCAGAAATTTCTATCAATTTATCCTAGCTTCACTCCATCATGAACTTTTTGACAAAGAAATTTTCCTTATATAATATCGATTTCAGTGGTTATTATCAATTTATCAACGAATATAGTAGACAATGGGGATAGAATGGCTCACTGCATTGTTGCTCAATTCGGAGTCACGATGCTGAGGTTTTATTCTCTGCAGGAGTGAACTTTTTCAAAAAGTCCGGATAATACTAGGGACTTATTTGTACTTCTACTACCAAGGAACTCTCTGGCATTTTTGTCCAGTGCGACAAGTCAACGCAGCGAGTTTAACCAGAAATATTGATGGTTCTTTTAAAAAAAGTAGTAGAAATATTTGCCATAATTATTTAAATATATTACCAATTGTCACGTATTCTAAGCTTTTTAATTCATTATTTATTTATTAAATATTTTTCAATATTAATATTTATTAATATTATTAATATTTAATATTTTATTCATAATAACGTACTCTATGCAAATTTTTATTCGCTTGAAATGTATTAATGGACACTGCGTGTTCGTTGGCATTCAAAAAGCTTAAAGCTGCATGGCTAAGTTGCATTTTGTGATTATAAAAATATAAAAATGCAAAAAAGACGATTTGATATAATCTTAGGCGTAATTTCCTCATTATTGTCCTTGAAATAAATTAATAATAAAGTCTGAAAATTTCATAAAAATTCCAATAATGCAGCGAATAATCTGAAAATCTTTTCTCGTCAATGGAATCAAATATTTACGCAATATGCTCAATGATGTTGCTAGAATACATTACTGAATTGATAAGATAAGTGATAATATCATTCGAATAAACTATTTGGAATCACTCGATTTAAGATAATTCATTAATTCTTGCGTTCGTATTTGTCAAAAGCCATTTCGAAATCTTCTTTCGCTTATGGATGTTGAGACCCAGCAATATTGGCCTTTTTTTGCTTTCTTTTTGTGAGTGTCATCGAGTTCTTTTATCTTTTTTGTCATTTTCGCTATTTTCGCTACTAAACTACGTACCACTCAGAAAACCCATGAAAACTGTCTTATCAACTTCGTTTATTAAGAATTTATAACCATTAGTTTCTGAAGAGATTGTAAAACTTAATTGTAGATTGGCCGAGTGGTACACTGTATTTCTTGCATGAAGTAAACCTACCATTAAGTCCAATCCTAATGGTTAGTTGTAGTCAATTAAATTAGAAATTAGCAGGGATCAGTGAATGAAGGCAGTTAGAAAAAGACCATAGAAAAGATAACTTTTTGTAATTTAAAGGACGAAAATAAGAATTATTGAATTAATGAAATGAGAGTGGTAAATTCCTAATCTTGCCATATACTATTTGGATAAACTATTAAATTATACCAAATCAAAAATTCAAAAAAAAAAAAATTTGATTCTAAAAATAAATCGACTAGCGATGATAATAAAATTAAAATTAATAAGATTAATTTAGGAGATTTTTAAAATTTTTTATTATTTTTAATACTTTAATGCTTTAAAGCAAATCAGATCTAATTTTTATGATAATTAAAACAAAAAATTTCTAAATATTTTTCTCCAAATGAAAAATGAAAAAAAATTGGAGGGAATAAAAATTCATTTGTAAGTCGAACAAAATGATATATATGAGCGTCTATAATGTGCACTGATAAAATCTAGCGAAAATTTAGATTATCGCTCATTTTTAAATTGGTAATTTCTTTTCTGTTCTTTCAAAAATTCTAAATTTAATCACTTGAAACTGATAAATTATTAAAATTATTAAAATTAGTCTTTTTTCCTAAGCTTAATTTTAATATTTCTGTCTAATTTTTACTGCTGAGATTTAGATTTTTGATGATTTAGATTTAACCAATTTTTCCATCGACAGCAGCTAAACTAGACTGAGAGACTCGTGCAATGATGGAAATTTATACTTTCATACTACTGAGGGGAATAATAATGGAACTCAAATGTCAAATGCGAAACAATGAACGTCATCAGAGGAAAAGAAGAAAATTTTCAATGAAATGTTTTCATTTCATTTTGATAGTTTTTCAAATCAATTTTTACTTATTATTTTTTATTCTGATAAATTCATCATTTATGGATAATTTTGCAAGAAAAGGAATTTTTTGAAAAAAAATAGTAAAAATAAAAAAATTTCAAATAGATTTTTTCATATCTTTTTTCCAATGATTTTAATAATTTTTCTTTCTCATAATTATTGAACAAAATATTTGGTTTTTTTTTGAATATTTATTGTATTTATTAATAAAGGTAAAAATTGAATCATATTGAACTATGTCTTTAATAAGTAGTAAAATTTAAGTAAAAAATCGTAATCGATGATAAATAAGTAGAATTTTTTGAAATTTTTGAAATTTTTTCGGATATTTATTTTAGTCTCACTTATGAAAATTGTTTTTTGTGAATGTTGTGGCCCACCAAGCATCGCTCAATCTTTATTCATTGTAACAGCCAACTTTCTTTTAATAGCTATCACCGTTTCTGGTTTGATCTCATTGTCGAGATTAAGGCATTTCCAAGCCGATTCCATCCTTAATAGCAAAAAAATCAGTCCCATCATCATCATCTAAGCCTATAAGCCGCCTATACGTTCAAAATCTTTCTTGATTACATCGATCCGGGCCTTGATTGATTTTCCTCGCTCTCAGCGTCCATAATAGCATTAGGTGAGATCTACCGCAATTTTTGCAATAAGTGACGAAGACTATGGCCTAAACAGCATAAGTATTTGGGATATAAAGCGATATTTTTTTAATTTGGTAAAATGTGTCTTAGATGAGAGTGGCCAAGGATAGTTAGCTTTTAAGCTTCCGGTTTCATACCATAAGATCTTAAGTGGCCAAATAATTTTAATTGATAATTTTGCTTTAGATGATAATTTCACGATGATTTATTCATTCATGAAGACGCATTTATAGTTGAGATTGATCGCGAATTTGCCTTTCGCTTGGTAATTCGATTTTACAATGGACTTGAAATATTTAAATATCTAGCCCTGATGAACTTTTAAAAAATAGAGATTTTATTGGTCTTGAGCAGGATTTTTGGTGGAGTTGCCAATATATTTAGCATTTACCATTTAGCAATATTTAGCATTTTTCGCATTTTCTCATATCAGCAAAAAGGACTACGTACACTCAATCCATATTTTCTGGATTGACTTGCACACCTCTTGATTAGGCATCTACCATTAATGTTCCAGTGTTCGATAATCAAATCAATCGCATGGCTGAATATTGTAAGGGAAGGAACACATCCTTGACAAATACCAATTCTTATTTCGAAAGAGTTTACCAGTACCAAAGATCTGTGCCGATGTACTGATAAATGAGTCTGTCTGAAGATTTCAGATCCCTAAATCCTCGAACGTTCGAAGATTGACTTTTCCAAGATTTTTATCATAATTTTTTGATTTACTGAGAATATGCACTTGACATCTCGAAAGTGCAAACATATGGCTCGATAAGTATTTCAAATATGTCCAGAATAGATGGCGCATAATCGTTAAATTTGGCATCAAATAATTTCTTCCATGGAACGACCTTTGATAATAACTTTATAGGTGAAATATAATTATTAGGATTGTAACATTGATCCCGAGTTATTTTTATTTTATGGACAGTGGCATCCTATTATCGCCTAATCCAGAAGCTATCTCCGCATTTTGAGACATATCACCAATACCTTCCATCCAACCATGACACTATTGATGAAGCGTTTGATACATCAAACGTCTTTCGACATAGATGCTCTGGCAACTTTTTTGGACAGCCTGATCAATGCTTTTAATACCAATTAATCCATTGGTATATTATATTATATTATATATTCTATATAATATAATATATTATATTATATACTCTAATATACGGTTAATTTGGTTAATCCTTCTGAGGCATACCTTTAGTTTGGACCAATATCCTTCAGTTGTCCCAGAGACGTAGTCGAAAATATTTACAACATTAAGATGTTTCGATAATTCGGTTTTCTTTTCTTTGAATGGAAACTTTTTAGTTTGAGATAATTAAGGGGCTCAGGGCATCGTTAACTTACGCTGACCTCGGCTCGACTCATAACATGGTCTGATGCATGAATGTTGTCACTTTTATTCTTCAACAGTAATTTACCAAACAAGAACCAATCTCGAATATTGATTATCTGGAGGACTCCATTTGGCTAGATGGTTCTTACAATCCCCAGAACCATTCTTGTAGAGTATTTGTAGTGAAAATTCCATGCTTCTCTATAAAGAGAATTCTCCTCACTGTCGCACAGAGCCCCAGTGCCATATTTATCAGCTGTAATCTATGGTGGCAACATTCGTGATTTACATATCATTCTAATCTTTTTCAGAAGATGGCAGCTTTGGAGACAAATGCTATTAACAGTTGGAGTTCTGCAATCTATTTTTGGCATCTGCGCATGAAATGGGAGTATATACATTGACACATGACCGACACCTTTTTAAGCTTCTCTTTGAATCGGGTACAGGTAGTATGAACGTTAATTGCTAACCAGTCAGAACGTTAATTGCCGAGTTATACCGAAGTGTCACGATCTTATTATCAGCATCTTCCCTCGAAATTGCTATTTAATAAGGCCCAAGGCCCAAAATAAGAAAAAAAGAAAGAAAAAAAAGGTGAATAGGAGATGTATAAATGATATTTGGATGGAATATGAAAATGACTATTTTGTCAAAGTAATATATCTGGTCATCTGACTCGCAACATCCATGAATGAATATCCTGAAATTCCACACTACTATGGCTAACACACCATCGCATGCACGGAGAACCGAAAGAAAAATTCTTTGTCATATTTCGAACCACCAGTTAGCCTGGTGTTTTCATTTTAATTTCAAATCGTTTAACTACGCTCGTTTACGCAAACATATTGCATGTAACACTGGGATAGGAGCATTTCGCATTATTTTAGAATTATTTTTAAAATTATTTTATATTGTTTTTAAAGTTGACAAAATATAAATTTAAAAATAAAGAATTTTAGAGTTTTTATAATAATGCAAATCGAAATTTTTAAAATAAAAATTTTTAATATAAATATTGAAATAATATAAAATATATAAAATATTTAAAATAAAATGAAAAGGAAGATTAGGAAAGAAATATTGATAAATATTATAATAACCATAATAATATAAGAGTAGAAAGTCGACATGACTATTTAGCTTAATGCAATGACCAAATTATTCAAACCACAAAAATAGTATTTTGATTTTAATAATATATATATAATGTAATAATATATATATAATCAAAATTATGGAATTCCTTGGTGGAACTTAGATGATGGAAAAACGAACGACTCCTGCGACTTACTTTCAAGTATGGCATCGAGTCGAACGGAACGAGCGATTTACTAATTTAAATTTACCAATCGTCGTAGTCAGCGCAGTTAATAGCCTAAGTGCACAACACGGCGAATTGTTCGAAGAAAAAATCCCGCAATACGACACCACTTATTTAATTTAATTAAAAATTAATTAAAAATTAAAATTACAACAAAAAAATGAATAGCATTACAATTTACATTTTTTACATTTTACATTTAAATAAAGCCATAAAACAAATGGAACGAATCGCGTAAAAAAAAGAAATTTTCTAGGAGCAAATTTTTGATAATTAAAATTTTACCAGAAAAAAAAAGATTTCAACATGGATCACATTCAAGGAAAACTAATTTTGCGAGACAGTCGCATAGATCCAATGACAACCAATCATGCCAGCTTTACTTCCATGCAAAAGATCATTCAATTCTTTTTTACTTACTTTATTAATTGGCCTTTCAAATAAACGTGCAGCAATAACGAGCGGTATTTCCTAAAAATTAATAAATTTCAATTGATAATTTCATAGACGGAATTCAAATTCATTAATTTAGCAATAATTGAGCAATAATTGAGCAATAAAAAATATTCAATTCTTCAATATCATTTTTTACCAAAGTCAATAATCTGTCGATAATCTTGAATAGCCCTCAAGCAAAAACTTTGAATTAACAATAGGTCTGGATTTTTTTTAGGAGCCCTCACCATTAGACTCGCTCCGCTGGCTTGTCGCACTAGACAAATGCGCTAGGGAATTCACTGGCGATAGAAGTATAAGTCGCCAGCACCACCCAAGTATGCATTAATAAGATCCATACCAAATTCAAATAATCAAATGGATATATAAAATCTTAGAAAGCAAAATTTTGTCTGAAGGGGCAATGAACTGATTTATTCCCTTTTCTCTTGGAATTAAATATTAAATTAACTGAAAATGGATATCACAAAAATAAAAATCTATGTTTTACGAAAAGCCAAGCGATAAGAGGGATCGAATAGTTGTCGGCCACTACTAGATTATTTTTTCGGGCGTCAAGTTTACAACCATACCTTTACATACGAATGAGTTGTTGGCAAGAATTTCTCTACGGACAGCCTAGTAGAGCGAGCTTAGAAATAGTGGACTCACTCTAGTAATTTTCCACAAATGATTATCCTTGGTTCGGAAAATATGCAAGAAAGTCATATGGGACAAGAGTGGCTCAGTAGGTTGTGTTGTTGCTCAATTCGGAGCGCCAACATTGACATTTTATTCCTCACAGGAATAAACTTGAACAAAAATCCGTGGATGATGCTCACATATAGTTCTATCGCCAAGGGACTCTCTGGCGCAGAAATTTGTCCAGTGCAACAAACCAGCGGAGCGGGTTTAATCAGTAATGGTGAAAATTGTTGCAAAAAAATTATAAATCGTGTAAATGGAAAGTCCAGATTTATCATTTTTTTCTCAAACATCGATAATAAATCAATCAATCAGTGAGAAATGATGGATTAAGTGGATATTTAATCGCTTCGATTTTATTAGACAGAGACTGAATCATATAATTATCTCGCAGTGTCCTAGGGATCTTTAGGTATTTTCTTGGTGACGGTAGTCATTAATTTTTAATTTGCCCTTTTTGCCCATTTCTATGCTAGAAAACTGGCTAAGGTATTGAATAAAACATTGCTCAAGACCACTAAATAAAAAATTTACCCCATGACGTGCGCGACTGCTTACAAAAAGATCCCACAATTGCTCGGCTCGATGTGTATTCTAAAATAATTGGAAAATAAAATAATTAATAAATAATAATTAATAAATTGATAATTAGAAATAAATAAGTTTTTTAGAAATATTTGAAAATAGAAAAATAAAAGACCTTAAAACGTGAAAAAAAATTTATTTTTTTATTTTATTATTATTTTTATTATTATTAATTTATTTCCTTTTTTTTATGACTGAAAACATAAATACTTAAATTTGTGAATATGGTGAATATTAATAAAATACAGCAAAAAACAACAAAAAAAGAATAGAGAAAATAGAGAAAACCTCATCGAGGAAAGGGAGAAGTTCATTTTTCGTTGGTAGACAAATCCTTAACGAAAGATCTTTATAAATTCCGGCATTTAAGCCATCTTCGCTACAATTTGCCGGTTTGTCTTTCTGATAAATGCGGACAAAATTTTTTAATGTGCCACCCATATTTTGACAAATATCGCAATGTACGCTAAAAAAATTTATATATCTTTGAATTAAAAAAAATTTATCCCATTTTTATTAAATTCAAAACTAAACCAACCAGGATCCTATTCCACCGCAACCATTTTCATCAGCGTTAACACATTTTTCAGGTTTACCATGTATTCCAATTCGTGTTTCCAAATGCACGTAATATTTCAATTTTCCATCCAAACCTGGTGGAAATACCTAAATATCGATAATTTTTTTTTTTATAGTTATACAAAATCAAAATTCTCTAGTAGTTTCAACCTCTTTATAAGTAAGGAGAGAGCTTTAAACTTCTTTTGATTAAGCTTTCATTATAAGGTAAAATATTGTATATTGATTGACTGATATTGATAGGAACTATTGATTAGAATCATTGCATTATTTTAAAAATGGAAATGCATTCATATCTAAAAGTGATATCTGAGATATCTTTTATCTTTTACCTAACGTATTTAACGTATTTATATAGGAAGGAATGTCTTTAGGGAATTCCCAACCAAAATTTTAGCATAAACAATAAAGAAGATCATGGAAATTACGAGAAAGATAATGGAAATGTATCAAAATAAATTCATGAATTCTTCTTATGAAATTTTTGTAAATTTTCTTTTCATATGAATTATTAACAAGTGTTTTTCTTGAATGGCTTAAAATTAATAGCAATTAGAACTTTATTAAGGCAAGCAGCAATCTCTGAAATTTAAACTTCTTTAGATTTGATTTTAATAAAATCTGTCCGTTGCAAGTTGGTCCATAGTACCACTTGGAATTTTTAAAAATGATAATTGAAATGATAATCTCAATAATCACTAGATAATGATAAGAATAATAATAATAAGAGGAAGAATAAAAAGAACAGAGAATATTAAATAAAATATTTTTCATAACAATAAAAAATTTTCTTTATTAAAAACAATAAATTGATTGAATGTAAAAAAGGTATATTTGTCGATATGTTTAAAGATAAATAGATGAAAACTGGTAAATTACTCCGAATGATTTTTCTTTGTGTAAAAATCTCGCAAAAATTTCTATTTATATGGAAATCAAAAACAGAAAAAGGCGAAAAAAATTGTAAAACTACTATTATATTATGAAATATTATTTGAATCACTTGCTTGTTGTTTAAAAATGGAGTTCAGAAAAAAGGAAAGAAAAGAAAAATTTAAGAAAAATTATGATAAAAAAGAAAAATAAACTAAGTTATTCTTTATTTATGTTTTAATGCTGAAAACTATAAGAATTATAATTAAAAGGTTAGAACGTATATTTCTGGCTAGTCTAGGCTAACTCCGCTGGCTATTAAAAATTTCTGCCTATATATGAGACACTAGAAGCATTCATACCAGCCAATGGTTAAACTCTTTTCTTAAGACGAATTATGTGAGCAAATGCCTTGCTATGCCTGTTGCGCTATCTTATCATTCAAAAGAAGCTCTTAACAAAAAGCCTAAACTCTTTCGGATTCATTTTATGAGATTAAATTTATGACTTTTCATGATTACCATCTAATTTTCATGAAAGTTAAATGGAACTTACTTGTACATCGCCACCGCTCATTCTAAAACATTTATGCCCTTGTTCATTTTTTTCTTCCGTAAATTTAACGCCAGGCGATCTGTAGCTCGGAAATTTAATTCTTAAATTCTCTTTACTTGGTCCTAAATTTTGTCGAAAAGTTACTTATTAAATTTAAGAAAAAAATTTGAAAAATCAAATTAAAGCTTTCAAAAAAAAATTTATTTTCTAAACTGAAAATTTATAACCGATAAATTATTAAATTAATTTTTAATTGAATTAATATGTATATTTATAGTTGGTTAACTTTTAACTTTTTTTATGAAGTAAGTACCAAATTAAAAATAGGAAATAAAATGCGCTGCGAATTTTGCTAAATCTTTCTTCCTTCTACTAATTCAATCAAATATCCAAAAATTTATATTTATTCAAACTTAAGCGTTTTGAGAAAGCTAACTTTACTTTACGCTTTATTTCTTGAATAATCTTAAAATTTCTCGGATAGAATTGTGAAAAATAATTGAGAAAATAATGGAAAATTTAAAAATTCTTGCGATTTATCGATTATCGAAGGCAAAGGTCATCTCTAAAGTCCATCATCGATTCAAAATTCAAAAGATTTTGAGATATTCACTTGAAGTAATTACAAATAATTGAATAAGATATGATTATATATATAAAATTAATTTTAAAATTTAAGAAAATCCGAATAAATTCAAAACAAGAATACCTGAGCTATCTGAGCATGGAAAATGTCGCTCAATTTTAACAGAAATTTCGTTATCAGCTGATATTTGAAGAATATTAAATGCAGCAAAAATTAATATCCGCCTTGCCAATAATTGTACTATCATAATTTCCACTAATAATTCGTCTTTGGAATATTTAGTAAGAAAAAAAAGAAAAAAAACAGGCAAATTTTTATTTGGTATGAAGGTGAAACGTTCACTTACATACACAACGCTTGTCTCGACGAGCGTCGTCTCACAGGTACCGTTTTACAGTTGCCTCAGGCGACCGGTTTAATTCTGCGATCACACCCGATGATTTTGAACATTCGAGACACACCCAAATGATGCCAGAAGAAAAACGGCCAGCCTCTCAATTCAACCTGTTCAAGCTACTATATCTATTATAATTTTAAGAAAAATACAAGATTTTTTTTTTTCGCAACATTTTTGTGACGTCTTATGGTAGATTTTAAAAAAAACCATTGGAATATATGGAATATAATTAATAAAAATTTTACTTTTCTTAATTAACACATATTATGATTTTCATAATTGATCAGTTTGAAAAATGATTAAATTACAATTTAAAAATTTTTTACATTTTAAATAATTTTCTTATCTGTTTATCAAAATAATGTTTATCAGAATAGTGTTTATCAGAATAAAGAATCAAAAGAACGAACAATATCAATAAATATCAGTGAAATTTTATTTAAATCCCCTTCAATGATTTTTTTTCTATATACTTTATTTCTTCGAAATGATTTGGCTTATTTATCCTAGCGGTGCTAAACGAGCCAAAAACCAAGAGAATTGTGTTGAATACTTTTAAAAAGAGAAAAAAGATATCATTAATTTTTGAAAGGAATTATTTTTCAGATTTTTTAATGAATTCGTCCATAAAGAATTATTTTAGAGAATTAAATGGATCAATGCAAGTATTTCAAATATTTTCAAAAAAAAAAAAATTCGAAATTTCTTATTTATAGGTTCCAACACGAGAATTGTTATGAGAGATTGTCGGAGCGCTATGAATTGGCGAATTTTTTTCAAGTATGAAATAATGTTTTATTTAATGAATAAATTGAGTTTGAATGATAATGACCTTCAGATTTTTGATTTCTTCGTTATTTGCTGAATGAAAAATTTTTTTTCTTTTTAATTTCTTAAAAATAACAGAAGAAATTTCATAAAATTCTTAAATTCGAAAATTTGTCTATTTGAAAAAAATCATTTTTTTTAGAAAAAATTTCTTTTCTGCGATAAAAGTTAACGACCAACAGTCGTCTTCTGTGATTGCCTCTGGCTAATAGTACGATGAGAAATAATTTTTACTAGCTTATAAAAGAGAAATATAAATGAGTCGGCAGTATCACCCGAATTTTTTTTTCTGAATGACGGGTTTTGCTAATAGCGAGTGAATATTCGAATAATAAATCATATAAAAATATAAAAACATAAATCATATTAATTTTCCACTTTTTTTTCCAACTTTATCACATGAGATATATTAATGTATATATATTAATTTTAATTTATAAATATTATGTTTTTAAATTTTTCTATGGAAAATTTATATGTAAATTTATTTATAAATATTTATTTATATTTATAAAAATATTTATAAAATAAATAAACGTCATGCTATTTAAAAATAAAATTTATATATATCAAACCATAAATCAAGCGAAATGTATTTGATGTATAAAATGTAATGAAATGTATATGCGTATATGTGTAATATGTAAAATACAATGCAACAACATTTTTTTTTCCTTTTTAACAGCACTTAGAATTTCAGGTCAGACTTGTTGCGTTGGCTTGTCGTACTAGAAAAATCTGCCAGACTCTCTTAACGATAGAAGTTCAGATAAGTCACAAGTATCATCCTGATTTTTGGACAGATTTACTCCTAAGTTGAATAGAACCTCAACATTGGTGCTCCGAATTGAACAAACCAACTGAACCATTCTATCCACCAGTACAGCAATATGTATTCTTTAAAACTACTAATGAAAGAATTAATCTCATTATTCTCTATGTCATCAATTCACCAATTTTTTATAAGTACTAATTATGTGTGCCATAAACCGAATAATGATCCACGCCACTAACATATTGCTTCACGATGGAAAAAGGAATGGCTTCTATTACTACTATCGTTGATGTCGGACTGAGCAGTTTGGAGACGTCTTGTTGAGACCTTGTTGCCATTGGAGCCAGCCTAACCATTAATGATATGAGCTGTTAGAAAAAGAATACATTGCTTCATGAATTTTATCATTGTGCTATAAATCAGCTAATCAATCAGTTTTAGACTATATCATAATGAACAATTTACAAATACAACATATGCTCAAATAAACTATCCATAAGAAATTATTAAAAAAGGTGAAAAAACAAGTAAAATAGAGAAATTTGGAGATAAATTTTTGGTGCAATTTTTTTACATTAAATCACCACAATTTATCATTCGTAATCGAATTGTTTTTTTTTGCAAATATATAATTATATATATATATATATAATATATATATTATATATAATTTATATAAATAATTTGAAAATGAACTGCTAAATGAATTCAAGCATAATTTTTCTTCATTTTCTAACAGTAGATTAAACTAACGCTTTAAACCAATATTGTACGATGTAATTTCAAATAATAAAATTTATATTAAAACGGAAAAAAAGAAATCTCGTTTGAAAATGTCTCTCGACAAAGCGTTTTTTCTCTCTTTTTTTTGCAAAAGTTTATCATATCATCGATGTGACATTGTAAAAATCATAAACACGATTTAATAAAAGAAAGATTCAGTTAACTTTTTATTTGAAAAAAAAAAAATTAATAGAAATTTTTTTGTGTTTTAATGAATGACTTTATAGTTTTTCTTTAAAAATTTCCTGTTTTAAACAAAAATATTTTTAACAAAAAATGAAAAAAATTAAATATATATTTACATATATATATATATATATATGTACATATATATATAAATATATGTATATACTTATATATACATATTAATATAAATATATACAAAATATGTATATTGATATATATTAATAATATATATATATATTTATATTTATATATATATATATTTCTTTTATTTTAGTTTATTTTATTTAAAAGAAATTTAAATTTGCAGCAAAGTAGGAAAATATGAAGAAAAAATTTTTTCGAATTTTGTAGTCGTCATTTTTTTTTTCTTTTTTTCCCAAGTAGTTCTCCTGCTAAGTAATTTGATATTTAGCTCTGGCTATTTGCTAAAAGGTATTTGATACAAACTAAACCAGAAATGATAAGTGCTATCAAAATGTAGAAGAAGAGTGAAACATTTAATCAATAATATTATTTATTAATTGATTAATTTAATACGATAATCAAGATAATACGTGTTTTATCAACACCAGTATTTTAGATTGACCAGCGTATATAGCATAATGAAATATATATATGAAAAATATATAAATATGTAAATATAATATATAAATATATAATATAATAATATAAAATATATAAAAACATATAAATATATAAATGTATATATAAATATATAAATTTGATTTTTTAATAATAAGTGATTAACGCTTAACATTTCTTATCAGACTTACTCTTCTGGTTAATATGAATAGAAGATTTTGCCGCAGAGTATCTTGATTATCGTGTTAAATTAAGTCACTTGAGGATCGAAATATGATAAGTGCTTAGCACACCTATTTTTTTGATAATTACAAATTTGCTCGTGTCGGATGCGAAGCATTACCAGCGATTAAATTAATCAAATTTTATAAATTTAAATTATATAATTATATTTTAATTATATAATTATATTAAATTTAGAATATTGTAATACGACGCAGGAAGATAAATTTCTTGCAATATAATATTGCTCTAAGCTACAAAAATTTAAATAGCAATTTGTAATTATAGAATTTTTTGGATTTTTTATTAGAAGTTTCGGACAAATCTGAATGAATTATAAAAAAACAGAAAGACGAAAATGAGTCGGCATTTTTTTCATTTTTTCGTGCAAGGAAAACGGTCATAAAATAGTCAATTTTACTAAATTCTTTCAATTATTATTTATTTCATGTATATTTGTGTCTTTTTTTAAAAGAGCCTTCATCATTACTGATTAGACTCATTCCGCTGACTTGCCGCACTAGACAAATATACCAGAGAGAACTTTGACGATAGAAGTACAGGTGAGCCGTCAATATCACCCGGATTTTTGGACAGACTTATTCCTGCAAGGAATATAATCTTAATGTCAGTAGGGTAGCTCCCGAATTGAACGAAAAGTCATTGATCCGTTCTATGACCTTTGGTGACTCCTTCCAGCTTGATGTTTTCTATTACCCAATTTTGGTGACAGCGAGCTGTTAAAAGAAGAATAATAGATGAAATCGTTCCATATTTGTACTAATACGTATCCAATTTATATTAATATTCTTCATATTTTAGCTAAATATTACTTTAATTATCTATTAGAAAACAGATGAAATATGAATTGCTTGAATGATTGTCTACTGGTTTTGCAGAATCAAAAATCAAAATCAAAAATGATGGAAACGGCGTCGATATAATGCAACTAAAATTTTAATTTTAATCTTTAATTTTGATTTTAAAATTTTAGATAAATTAATCGATATAATAAAGATATTTTAAGACGAATTTTAAACAAACTTAACCCAATATTACCAAAACCTTAACATTATTTCATCAGATTTGCATTGTTGTAGGGGCATATTTATCCATATTGTCTTTGGTACTTTTTCTTTAGCAGAACTCACCACTTCTAGATTAGTTTCCTCACTAACAATACTGAAATGGAACTCTTTAGTCGGGGAATTATTTGAGGATAGAAGTACAGACAGGTTCTTAGCAAAATTTGCATTTCACTTTTAATGGCAGGCTTATTTTACGAGCAGCTAGTGCTTGGCCCCAATTTATTCGAATAATGCTAAGCAATATTAACATTCGATTATTCTGTCTTTATTCGAAATTAGTGACTTTGATAAAACGCTGATAATAATGATATTCATTATGAACTCATAATAATCTCGATTATTACATCTTTTTTTTGCCAGTGAAATCAGTTTAAATTTATTAAGGTTATTTATTTTTTAAACTTTCAATAATTTATTACTTTCGCTACTTTTAGGGCTTCAGTACTAGAGAGGTAGAGATGATCTAATGGTGTGGTCCCTTTGATCTTCTTGAGAATTATTTCCCCGACGGATCTTCTGGTACTGGCTACCTACTTTCTACTTTCCAAGAATTTTTAACCGTACTAACATCCAGTGGAGATAATTTCACTAGGAACAGTCGACGCTTAATGCATATTTCCCTAAGTTAATAGACTCTCATTGGTTCATTTATGAATAATATTTTATATTTATTTTGAACTGATTAAGTCAATTTAAATTCAGTTTATTTATTTGCAGTATAGTTAAAATAATATTTGTATTTAATTTTTTATTTGTAGTTTTCACATTTACTTCCTATTCATTCATAAATCACGCGGATCTGCACGAATCATATTGCTTCTATAATAAAGTTTAAATTTACCTTTTTTTTTTAAAAACCCTCACCAATATTGGTTAAACTCATTGGCTCGCCTGCACTAGAGAGACATTCCAGGAAGCTCTTTAACGATAGAAATATAGGTGAGTCGCTACCATCACCAGGATTTTTGGACAAATTATTCGCGGCGAATATAATTTCAGCATCGGCACTCCGAATTAAGCAATAATTCATTTCCTAGATTTTTTTCCTAGATTTACCATTAAAAAAAAAGATAAAAATGATAGAGATTTTGATTTTTTATTAATAGAAATAGTTTAGAGAATTAAAAAAACTTATCAGACACTTATCACTTATCAGACTCCAATAAACATTTGTTACTCTTATTAATTATTGTTTTCTAAATAATTTGCCAAATTCTTCAATTCTCATCGAGTTTTACTATATTTTTTACATTAAATATTATTATTTTAAAATATATATTCATCATGAAGCGGAAATTTTTCAAAATCCATAAATCTTTATAGCTATTATTATACATAAAACGAATAAAAATGCGAAAAAAAATCAAACACCTGCTATCTTCAAAAAGCTTAATGGTAGTTTGGTTGATAATTCATAATGAAGCATTTATGGATTCAATTTCATATACCTTTCCAAATATCCATAAAAATCAACTCAATTTAATGAATCAGTTAAAAGCTTCATTATCGAAAAAAAAGAAAAAAACTAAAGAATCAATTAATTCAGTTTTTAATTTAAGCCCTGATCCTGACGTTTCCATAAATTTTATGGCAAGCAACAAACACCCGCTTTTCCTTGATCATCTTATTGAACGGCAAACTCCAGTAAACATCAAACGGTAGTGGCTCATTCTGAAAACAATACATTCTAAATATTCAAAATCTTCAAAATCCATAAATTTGCCACAACTTTAAGATTTTAAGGAATTTTTAAAGGTTAACGCTGCAATTACTTATTGCTAAGAAATTATCGTAGAAACTGATAAATAATTATCAGAATTTTTTGAATTATTCGAAATAAAGCAGAATAATTTGATAAATCAACAAACTAGTAAAAAATTTTGTTAATTTAAAACTTCGAAGAAATTTTAATTTTGAGTTTTTTTTTCACATGAAATATTAAATAAGAATAATTTGCTAACCTTGAAAAAACTATTTTTACTCCTTCTGTAAATATTTTCAATTCGTTGCTGAAGTTGCATTTGTTGTGATACATCTGTATTGAAAATATATACTGTTAAAAATAAACCAAAACCTCTTAGACTTCCACCATCCTAAAAGATATTTTATAAAGCAGATCTTATCATTCATTACGATTGATTTAATCAAATCACTAAAAAAATCCTCAAAGATTTTTCAATCAAAAAAAACTGTTCTTATAAAAAGTATTATATTAGAATATGAAGTAAAAAAAAAGAAAGAATAATAATTTATCGCCATTTTTGTCGATAAAAATTAAAAATGATTGATGAATTTATGGTTGTTCTTGACAAATAATGATGCCAATTTTCAGTGATAAAATTTCGAGGACATGAATTTTATAAAAAATTGAATATTTTAAAAAAAGTGGAACAATTATTTACACGGAACATTGATAAATAAAATATTTTAAAACAAGGGAAAGGGTTTTTACTGAAAAAATTTAATTTTGGATAGAATGATGAGTGATAACTGATAGAAAATAATGATGATGAGAAGAAAAGGATGGCTTTCAGGCCAGGCCTCAATAGGAGTAAACCAGTCATTTACATGGTCGTTGTTATATTATTTGTATTTAATTGATTGCCAAAAAATCCTGTCCAATCAGGAATAATCAGCCTTGTTAATTATGATAATATATTGCCTGAACAATATTTCAAGCATCATGTATGAGCCCTCTTCAACTTATCAATTTATCATATAAAATCTACTTGATGTCGACAATAAATGAATGTCTTCAAAAAAAAATAAAATTTTTTCAGCATAAAATCGAACCTCGGATTGCGTAAGTGATAAAAATGATTCTTTTGTGAGGCCTTGTGCTTTCAAAATATCTTCAATATGTGGTAAGCAAAATGCAAGTGCAATATTTTCATATGTTCCTTGTTTTAACGAATCACCACATTGCAAATCGCGACCATTAACAAGTAATTTAGCTTGAATAGCAAATGACGAGCCAATTGCTTCACATGCATTGCAGTAAAGGCTATAAGTTATCATAAGCAGATGGTAAACCAACTATTACAACTGACTTTCAATTTTGTAGGAAAAAATTTTTTAAGGCCAAACGCCTTTCATAAATTGGATTTTTCCGAGAAAACTATCAAGTTTTGACTTACCAAGATCCAAAACCTCCACATCCATCTGATCTTTGATTGATGCAACCTTCTGGAACCTAAAATGATCATATAAGGGATGAGAACCCGTATAATCATTGAGAATTCTATTGAATTACTAAAATTACAAAACTTCCAAATTCTAAAAATAGAAATTTAGTTTGGTAGCAAGGATTTTTAGTTGTTTAAAAATATAATTATTGCAAAAAAATAATAATTTTATGATAATAATAGTTTTTTCCTGCATTCTGGGAAAACAACTAACTCTTAAAGCTTTTTCAGTTTCATTTCTTTACATCTACGAATACACAACTATTGGTTTCTTTCAATATGAATCTTAAAACTAAAGTAAAATGGTATCGAAGTACGGAAGTTGACTAACTTTTTTCTGATTTATTGTATTCCTTAGTTCAATGTATACACTAAAATCTCCTTTGAATTCACTGTATACAATAACTTTTCCTCCAATGGTATAGCAATTCGGGGAACCTTGTTGTGCCAGTAATTTCGGTCCACCTCGCTCATCACCTCCTTCGAGTTCCAATATACGATTCCATTTGGATTTGCCTTAAAAAATTTCGTCTTATTCTATGGTTCATATGGTTCGTTTTCATTTTTTTTTAGGTCCCATAATTATTCCCATTAATCAATTTTTTTTCATAAAATAGTGCCTTGTGATTTATTCTATTCAAGAATTTGAAAACTTATAAAAATTATAAAAAGCATATAATTGAAAAGATGAATTTAATCAAATTTTGAAAAACTTTCAAAGACGAAATTTATGAATTTAATGAATTTTTTGAGGTTATTTAATTGAATATAACCGAAAATTTACATTATTCCAACTGTTGTTTGAATTAAAATCTGGCTTAGAGTAATTTCAGCCAAGAAGTTTCATTTGATAGAAGTCTAGAATAATTCTACAAGAATTTAGGTGGAATAAAGAGGAAAAAAAATAAATTTTATTCAAAATCAAATGGAAAACAAATAGGTAAAAATAAGAAAATAAAGTAAAAATAAAAAAAATAAAGAGTTATCAATTGAAGACTGTGAAAAAATTTTGCTAAACAATTCTTAAGATATTCAATAGCTATAGTCCACAAAAGTTTATTATTATATAATTTTATAATTATATAATTTTTGACAAATATAAATGCAAAAATCTTTCACTCCCCCTGTTGTTAATAATGATCATCGTCAACATCGGATCCTCTACCAAAGGCCTGGGAGATTGATGGTTATGTGCAATATCTTTTCTAATGGTGCGCTTGATAGAAATGTTGTTCCTGCTAAAGTATTTTTCTAGTTTTAGGAATCATAGTTACAAATGTACCAATTATCGCTGGAATTACTTTGGCCTTTGCCTTCCACATCTTTCCAACTTCCTCTTTCAGTCCTTGGTATTTCTCTAACTTCTTATATTCCTTTTTCCTGATATTCCTATTACTTGATATTGCAATATTTTTTTACCAGTGCTGAATAATATTAATAAAGTACAATTATTGCCATCATTAATCCATTATCCAATATCTTTCGATCTATATAAATCTATATTATTTGATTACCTTTTTTTCAAATTCATTCATCCTTATAAGCTAATGCAACCTACCGATGCTGAGGTTCGATTCCCCATTGGAGTAAACCTGTATAAAAATCCGGGTAATGCTGGCCACTCACCTGTATTTCTATCGCCAAGGGACTCTCTGGCATGTTGCTCAATTGCGACAAGCCAGTGGAGCGAAGTAAGGGCGAGGAACTCTTCAAAAAAAAAGTGCAACCTACCTAATCACTAATTTTGTGCATTGTTCGATGAAGAAAAAAAAGGACTATATTTAAATCAATTAATATGTGGTTATTTAGTTTGCAAATTTATAAAACGAATTAAAAGCACATTTTATTAAATCAATTTCTAACAATGAAATGAGAAATAATAGTGATAAGAAAAAAACTTAGCAAAATTTAACCGCGAATATAACTGCACGATTGATGTTTGATAAGCTCGAGATCAAACGTTAATGCTGTATCGCTATATTCTAAGCAATTTGCTTGTTGACAGAGAACTACGAGTAAAATCGACGATAATAGAGCTATTTTCATAATTTGATGCAAATCACTATTGAAAACAACCATCAACAGCTCGATTGCACAAAAAGGATATGTATGGTGGTTTGTATATGTAAATACCATACGATCAAGTTTTATTCACAATTTTTTCGTCTTACGGCATAATCGATTCTAAAACGGTTGTTATTATTGTTGATTATTCGGTGATAACCGTTGTCGTCGCCGTCATCATCGCTGTCGTCGTTGTCGTCGTCGTTGATGTCGTTGTCGATCTTCGTTGTCGTCTGCGTATAATAAATTTTGATTTCAGTTGATTGAATTTTGCAATAATGAAAAATAAATTAATCGAGCAATTTTTAAAATTATCAATGATGTAAAAAAAAGCAAACCATAAAGCAAACCATTTTTTTTTTATAAAAATTTGCTATCTGTGTAAAAATTTTCTCTAAGTTTTGCAATAAATTATGCGGAATGCACAAATTATGCAGTTTGCAGTGACTATTTCCTTATGCTATATGCTATCTCTCATCATAAATTTTACCGGCATTTAAATACTTTTTATGTTTGGTCTACCACCTCGATTTTCGAGGTATTTCATAAAATATTTCGAAGTTATTGTTGAAACAATTCCGAAATTCAAATGCCCCCATATTTAACGAATACAAACTAATTTGGTGAAAAGAACGAAAGTAGAATTGTTATTAAAAGTGAAATTATGAAAGTGACAAAAGTCTGTAATTTTCTATTTTAAAATTACTCTCTGGCAAATTCACCAAATTCGTCAGTGGAATCAACTAAAATTATAGGTGAGGAGTGATTAAAAAAATAAGTAGAATCAAATGGTGGTATTTTCCAGGGGATATGGTTCTCGAAATGAATTTATGAATGCATAAAATTATGTCGACAAGCAAATTTTACAAATATATGTTAAAAATTGGTTTTAAAAATTTATGAAAATTTTTCTCAGGTTTCTTCAGGATTTTGTTCCTTCTATCTTAAATATATCAGTATCAGTTCTTATCAGTTCTTTTTTTGCTATTTATTGTAGAGCTTCACTGCACTAGCTGTTTTAAAACTTTTTCTGAGCAAATTATTTGACTTTGACTTTGGAATTACCCAGAATAATCCCAATAGATTTAATCGCTAGCAATACTTGGATTGTTTTATTATAGGCCTTTAATTCTTGTGTACAATTCTATGAAAGATTTCGTAGTGGACTTGAAAATTCTACGAAAAAAAAAAATTTAATAAAAAATTTTTTTAGAACAATATGATAATTTTATTATTTAAAATTTCTTGCTTTAGAATTTTTTTCTTCCTTCTTTTTATCTTTATTTTTCGAGTAGACATTTCGACATATGCTAATGTAATCCCATCGAAATTAATAATTCTATAATCTAGCGTAAAATATTTTTGCGAAAATTTATGCTTTGCTTTCCTTCTAATAAAATTATTAGAGCAATTAGCCGGTCCTATGAACAGGAATTTAAGATAAAATTTATATTGATCCATTGCCTCGGGCTACATACAAATCGTGGTCATGGCGACTTTTATAAACGTTATTTTATACGAAATTTCAATGACAAAGACTTCGACGAAAGGGCAATTTAATAGAAAAAGGGTTTTTAGCAAAAAATCGTTCAGAATTCAGAATTTGTCCAAAATTAGTGCGGGAAAAAATTTATTTCAAGTTTAGGTCCGAATTCTTGTATAATTTTAATTTTGGGGGGTTTAAAATTTTATTCTATTTCTTATCTGTCAATCACTCTATTTTACCATCAAAGTGTATTATAATTAAAAAATAACGAATTGCTTGAGATAATTCGTTCGCTCTTCATTAAATTATAGTTAAATTTTAGATGAATCTTTGTATTTAAGCAAAAAAATCTCAAAATAATCAATTGCTGCAGTTCACGATTGAGAATTTCGGATAATCTTGTTGATGTATGTATTAATATATATTAATAATATATATATATTCTTTTTTAAATCAGAAAATATTTTATTTAATAGGTCAATAATATTAATTATGATTCTGACTGATTTGTACCACTTGCAGTATTAAGCTTGACATCGATTCCCATTAGGAAACAAGCCACAGTACTTTGCGCCATACGCCTTCGAAGCAAAGCCTGACCGAACGCTGATAAATAAGATTCATTAGGCCGTTGCTCCAAATCCATTAAATATACTGTGATAAACATTGAGATCTGAAATAAAATAAATAAAACTTCTTCTTCTAGCTGTTCTAAATATACAGAAAAATGTAAAAAAATTATTCTCTCAAAATAAAAAAAAATTGCAAAATAAGTCAATTTTTGCCAAACAAAATCGTTCCACGGAGATTTTCTTAGATCTAAATTATTATTGCCTATTCATCACAATAGTTGTTGTAAGATAGGTAGAAATTTTTAAAAATTTTCGAAACTTTAATTGGAGGGAAGTGGAAGGTACAAAACAAGGAAATGTCGAAATATCACTAGCAATTTTTGATTTTAGTTTTTTTAATAATAGCTTCACCTTCAATGGAAAGCAAATTTCGAATATCGATGAGTAAAAACTATTCGACTATTTTCTCATTCATCAAGATATTATCACAGAAAAATCTTGAAAAAATTTTTTTAAATTCTCAGATATTTTTTTCAAAATAAATTCTTTCCTTTCGATCATATCACTAAGCATGCGCCAATAAAGAGTGGTACCAGGATTTTATTTCTTGATTTGTTAGAAAGCAAGCATTATATTAACACCAATATGATGAAAAAACTAACCGGTCGTTTTTCAACAATATCACTGTGAATTTCTGGAGGTATATATTCCTTGATATCATTTAGTTCTGGCGTACACATTTCTGTTTCAATATCGTAAAAACCAGGTAACATTACCTGGAATTAAAATACATAATTATTGATATTTGCAATATAGAAAACTGTAAAAGTAGAAAAAAAAGAATTTATTCAAAAAATTTTCAGCTTATCTTTGGATAAATTAATATAAATTAAATTAATAATTTTTTGCATTATTAAGCGAGCTTATAAATTATCAATTATCAATTATCAGTATTATCTAAAAAGAATCAATATTTTATCTTAAAAAAACTATACTAATCGACAATCTACGAGAGAAAATAAAAAAAAATTTGTAAAAAAAATTAATGAAATCCATATTTTTAAGACAAATCTCTTTAACGGTAATAATTTCGTGCATTTGATTTGATTTATTGTCAAAAAGAAAATTCATAAAGCAATCGCTATTGTATCGTAAAAATTTTTTGAAAATTCTTTTTTTTCCTTTCTTCTAACATCAAATTTATTGGTTTAGTTAATTCCCTCTGACTGTTAAAAAAAAACAAAAGCTTAACGAGAAAATCACTTGAGAATTATCTTATCTTATCTTAATGATAAGTTTATTCGCGTAAAATATCAGAAATGATAAAATACGTTTAATAGAACGAATCAAAAAAGGAAATTTTAAATTTTACCGTACTTCGCATTTGCATGTTTCATCATTAATTTTACGATTAGCCGCTGAATTTTCTCGGAATACGACCGATGATGAAGAATGTGTGCTTATTTGACGACAAAAATCGCAAAAGACGCTAAAATTATCAATTAATCAATGAAATTAATTAGATTATACGATTCTAGTTTTTCAAATTTTCTCTTTTTTTTGTTTCACTTATATACATTTTAAAATTCGCATCGAAAGATAAGATAAGATATCATAAAAATTCTCTCTTTTGTGGTGTAAACTAATACATTTTTTCTTTTTATTTTACAATAAATTAAATATCCTTTTTGACAGCTAACAAATCGGCGAATTTTAAGGAAAAAATGAAACAAATGAAATTGGCAAAAAATCTGTTACAACAAAAATCTCCGAGAATAAAATAAAATAATTGCCGCAAAATTGTCGATTAAAAGAAATTGAAGGCAGGGAAAATCCATGATTAAATGAATGAATGATAAATTTGTGGGAAATAAAGATAAATTGGATTATTAAATATTTCATCGAAAGCCATCGAAAATGGTTTTCATTTTTAATTCATTTAAATAAATGAAAATTCTAAAGGGAAAATTTACTTATCTTTTTCTTGATTATTCGCTTTAAAAATTTATTTCCTTATAAAAATTTGTAAAGTATTTATTTAATAAATTTTTGGCATTTAAGACAAATTCAAATTGTGAGATAAATAATGATAATAATAATAATAAATAGAATAAAAAAAAGAAAAAACTTAAAAGAGATGTAAAAAAAATTTTTTTTATTTTTCTTGATATTATTTTCAAATAAAATTTCTTTAACGAAAAATTAAAAGATTAATTATTAAAAATTAATTATTCTAATAAAAAAATATTTAAAAATTTGTGTAAGCCTACCAAGATCCTTCGACTTTAGCGCATGGGCATTGATTGACTTTCGCATCAATTTTTTTCGAACATGGTAAGACTGGTTGTTCTGGATCAGGCATTCCGCCAATTCGCATCTCGATTTCAGCCACTAAATTTTTAACTGGCTTTACAATCTCGACACCGAGCGCTTTAATTTTCATGCATCCTGGTATGGCAGGATTCTTTGGATCAAGTATGATCTTATCGGGATTAAATCGAATCGATGGCTTGAATCTTGCAATTTCTACGCCTTTTCGAGATAAATATACTGAAAAAAAAACATTGCTATTTGTAAAATATAAAGCAATAAAATAAAAAGCAATATTAAATTTGACATTTTTTCTCTATTTTTGAGAGCGCCATCAGCATGTTCTACTAGCTTATCAGGTCAGATAGATTTTGTTATGAGTGTCACTTGACGATAGATAGGTCATGCGGATAGGTCATCAGATTTTTGATTTTTGGATTTTTTGAAAGACCGATTTATTGCTGTATGGAAGGAATATAGCCCAAGAATCGGCGCTTTGAATCCATATTAAATTTGATTTATAAAAAATATGAGTGTAAAATTTGAACGAAAAGTTTGTTTTTTGTCTTTATGCCTTCAAGTTGGCCCAAAAGTCCATCCAAACGCTCAAATTTGTCCCACTAAATTTAGTGTTTTAAGAATATAAATAAACAAAATTTAGATAAAACAATAATATTTTATGGATAAATGATATGAAAATAAAAAAATAAATTAAAAATAAAAAGAAACAAGGAATTTATATTGTACGCATTATTATTATTGCTATTATCGTTTAATTTTCTTTAAAATAAATAAATAATTATTATAATAACAAGAATAAAATATTAGTAACAACAACAAAAGCAATAATATTTTTAATTTAATAATATTTTTAATTTTAATTAGTTTTATGCTTTTTGATAAAAGCGCAAATTGCATTTTACTTTCTCTTTTAATTTAAAATAAATGTGCTTTACAAAGAATATGAAAATTCATAGAATGAAATGTGAAGTTTTCATATTTTATTAAAATATTTTATTATTTTATTATTTTATTATTAAAAATAATTTCACAAAGAAATTTTATAATTGAAATAATTTTAGTTTTTAATTTGGAATTAGCCGAAAAAATCCAAGAAAATTAGGCAATTATTTGTTATTTTTTATTATAAAATTTTTTATGAAACATTTTTTGCCGAAAAAAAATTGAAAAATTAGAGCGAAACGAATCCGTTTGAATGCTATTTGGGTCATATTTTGTAATTTCATGACAATATTAGATTTTCCATCAGAATTTCTACAAACGAAAAAGTAAAAAAAATTTTTTTTTGTAGCCAATAATATTATAAGTAATAATATATTAATATGGACATAAATAAGGCCGTGATAAAAGGAAGTCATTGGGCCAACTGGGCAAAAAAGGAAAGAATTAGTAGAGCTAAAGTGATTTTGGATAATAAAGTGTCGCAGAACGGCACTGATAAAAGTACCGTTCCGCAGTACCACGTGCCACCTGGCTTAAAATTTATGATTTCCGCACGAAGCCAATCCATGATAATCTAAGCAAAAAAATTCAAGCAATCACAAAATTCATAGAAAATAATTGAATTTGACCAAAAATTGAATTTGAGAATATAATTTAGAATTCCATAATATCGAAAAATTTTTTGGTTAATTATTTTTTGTGTATTTCTTAATTTCTTAATTTTAAATTAAAATTATTTCTTATTTTTAATTTTATTTTGGAAGATCATTTGTAATGAGAATTCATATCTTTTAGCTTTTCGAATAATTTCCATTTTCCATTAGTTAAATTTTTCTTTCTAATTCAATAATTATTTTTTTTAAAGCAAAAATCGCAAGTTTTTTTTTTTATTAAGGCCGAAGATTTTCGCAAGGATTTAGGCTTAGGCCTATAACCAAGAATTTCAATCGATTTTATAGTTGTTCTATTTTTTAATTTTATGAAAATAATATTTCGAGTGATACAGCATAGATGGAACTACAATAAATCTATAAATGTAAATGGGTAGCAATAGGTAATAAAAATTTAAAAATTTACTTGGACTACAAGCACCAGAAACACGAATATTCACTTCAGCATTATCCTGACCACAAATCGACGTTATCACTACTAAAATAATCAATGAGAAGACTGATTTATGGACGGCGATCATATTAATGGAAATTTAAACCGTCGTCAAATTCGGCCCGAATCGTCATTCACCACCACCACCATTTAAAGATGACCTAACAACGCAACAAAATGCTTTGTTAAATAGGCGGAGAATTTTTGTGCTCATTAATATAATTGATTCCATGACAACCAATAGTTTCCACGCGTACCTCACTAGTACTATTTAACAAAGACAGTTCATTCAAAGTATGACTGGCGGGACAATTTCCTCGAGAATTGCACGAAAACCGAAAACTTGATGCAATACAGCTGAATAGTGTCCTTAATCTATCGGGGGGAATAAATCATTGTAGACCGAATCTGGTACTTCCGTTTTCAAACGACTCGGCTCAGTGTGTTTCATATAATACCCATCAATTAGCCACCATTAGTGAGCGGCGCAGAAAATCGCTTCCCGATTCCTTCCATAGGAAACCACTCTTAAAATATCATTTCTAAAATATCAAATCACCAAATCTCTTGCTTCATAAAAAGTTCAACCTTCAAACTTTTTAGCGATTATTTTCACCTCACCTCAATTTTCTGACACTCAAAAATTTATACACCGCACCATTTTCCAATTTCATATCAAGCAGCAACAGCTTTAAATAACCCTTCTCTTAATGAAAACCAAATAAATTTCTATAACTAAGACGAAAAAAATTCCACTTTACATTAAAATTATTGCATTAAAATTTATATTTACAATTATAATACTATTTATTACAAATTTATTCATTACAATGATATCGATAAAAATATATAATTCACGATGTAATTAAAGGAAAGAAAAACGAAATTGGATATATTTTTACACCTCAAAAGAATCACAGAATTATACATTATGACAAAAATCTAAAAGATAATCAAAAAAATCTAAATGAAATAATTTTTATGTTCCAAAAAAACCTACCAAAGATTAAAAACACTTTTAAAAAATTCTATTAAGACTTGCCTTCAAATTATTATTCGAATTTATTATTTACTAGAAACTAACAAACATTTGGACAGCTTACGCAAATCTATTAACCCTATTTCAAAATTTCAAGCATAATATAAGAAATCTTTCATGATGAATTTTTTTAAAACAAGAAAAAAACCTGTTGAAAAACACAGCGCAAAAATGTATTGAAAAATCGTTTTAAACCGTTTTAACCATTTCCATTAGATATTTCCATTAGATATAAAACATATTCAACAGTAAGCGAAAATTAAGCATAACAGAATAAAAAATAAAAAGAAAAGAAAATAAAATGGTGGCATACGATAATTCAACGCCAAAAAATATCAGCCAAAAAAACTCCATTTGTGATAGCACTATTCAGTTCAAACAACCAAAAATAATACCAATTAGATCAGAAATTCACTATATAATTACGTAAACGTATCTTTAATCACCATTCATCCAAATGTACCCGTAAATGAAGTGCCTGAAAATTCTGGGAAAAAATGTGAAAATTAAAAAGAAAAAATATCTTGCTTAAAGACAAAACAGAGAAAAAAGTATTAGTCCAAGAAAATATCGGATTACTTTTTTAAAAAAAATTTGATTCAATGTAATCGAGCAGATCGTCGTAATTGCCGATGTTGCTCGAAACGTTTTTTTTCTTTATCGTCCTTCATTGGCACAGGAGGTTCTGCAATGGTCTTAAAATGGAGGTAAAGAAAAAAAAAACGATTAAATAGATATGTAAAGCTGTAGAAAAAAGAAAAAGAAAAAGCTAGAAATTAAAAAAGGAGAGAAATTTTTTAAAAATCCATGAATCATAAAAACTTACTGCCTGTTGTCTTTTCCTTATTTGCCTCATCCAAATCAACCTGAATAAGAATAATTTTAAATGAACGAAATGATCGAGAGAAAAAACGCACATTGAGAAAAATATAGAGAAAAAATATGTTTAAAAACAACATTCTTTAAAAACATTCTTTCTTACCGCTTGCTTTTCTGTGGCATTTTCTTCTACCATTATATGACCAATTGATTCGGCTAATTGATTTGCAGTTTCCGGATCTATTTCTTCGCCTTCAGCCATAAGTACATATACACGTTCTCCATCTGCACCTTCTAGTGCTTGAACCTGCAATTTAATGAACAAATTAATTTTTAAATTTTATAATCATTAAATAATGAAAGGAAAAAAGTGGGATTGATCATAAAAATGGTAGTTATTACATAAAAATAAAAGAAAAAAAAGGTGAAATACTTTAATATAAAGCATAATAAACCTTTTCAAATTCCACGTTGTACTGAGCTTTTAACATGGCAATAGTTCCTGGATCTGTGATAAAGCCATTCTGATCAATAGCATTATCTAAAAATATTTTAAGAATCATTCGGCATAAAATTTAATAAAACCAATTTAACGATCGAAATAAACTAACCAAGTGAATTTTGCTTTTTCGAAACTGAAGATTCTTCTTTAATTTTCGATGCTTTTTTTTCCTTTGAGTTCTAAAATATATTAATCCACTTCACATTTGAAAAAGATTTAAACAATTAAACTTTCAAAAATAAGTGACAAATAAGAAAATGTAATGCAAAACTGCGAGAAGTTTAACCTTTTCGAATTCTTTCATTCCAGCATACTCTGGCATCATATCTGGATGTTTTGACTTAAGATGACGTATTGCTCGACATATATTATAAGGTCTATGCAGCATGTATGTCATATTACAAACCAAACATTCAATTAGTTGTGGATGTACGAATTCCATACACCCATCAGAAACTCGTTCCAATCGAGCCTTAATAATTTTATCAATTTATATATATATATATATATATATATATCTGTATATTTTTAAAATGATACGACCATTAGCAATATGCTCTCAAAGCATCAGAGCACGCAAAGGAAAAAATAGTTTACCATTTAAAATATAGAAAGAAAAAAGCAATACCTTACACAGTTCATATTGCATTTCTTCAAGAAGTTCAGGATGAACAATTCGGTAATGCCGGATAGCTCCAGCACTAATTACAGCTGCTAATATGTCACTTTTGCATAATTTACATTTCCAGTGACAATCTGTAACCGGTTCAACGAATCTGCTGCCAACTGGAGCTGCTTGGCGTAAGGCAGGCATGATAAATTGCCTCTTCGGTTTACTCCTTCGTCCTGAAATGTCAATGTCAATAATATTTGGTAAAATTTTACGCCATAAATCAAGCTGATAAAATGATCTTTAATAAAACTAACCGAATTGCATACGACTATTCAAATAAGCTTCAGGCCCAGATGAAGCTGCGCGCACTTCATCTTCTTCCGCATCTTCAGTATATATATCACCACCAGATTGTATACGACGCATCCGCCTTTCAATAGCTAAAACTAATTGAACTGGACATTCATGAAAATTCAAATTAAATTAAATTATAAAACAAATTAAAATCTATTTTTGAACGACTGTTCAAATTAACGAACTACGCCTATAAAGTCCTGAATAAACGCAATTGCTTCCAACGAATACTTAGTGCATCATTAATGTCACTCAAACATTCCCACTAATTTTATGTTACATTTTCTTCCAATTTTATAAAAAAATATAGAAAATGAATTGTTCTTTTTTGATTTATCTTTTTATTTTTTATCCAATTATTATACACGGTCCAATAAAATTTATTTTTCTCATGCGACTCAGGGAAGGCAAAATGTTGGAGAGAAGCATCGTATTTTAAGCTGTAAGAAAATAGAGGATATAAACCTTTATCGAATTGGCTTTCAGACGTATGAGTGGTATTGAATTTTCCACATCGTATATGATGCTCATCAGGTAAGGTCACAGCGAAATCCTCGTTATATTTTTCAAATAATCTAGCATTAATAACCAATTCCTTAAAATATAAATCATTAAATATTTACTAAAATTAAATATACTTTTAATTAATGAAAACGAAATGAACCATTTAAAAATTTTAAAATAATTAATTAAAGAAAGAAACCTTGAGGCATAGATTGCATTTGGGCACTTCAATGTCGTCGGGATGAACTTCGGAAAAATGCATCGCAAGTGCTTCGACTGACATGAACATTCCACACCATATGCACTGTAAATTATCTCCATTGTCGACAGCGGTATCAATGACCGCAAAATCTTGCATGGATAATGGTTTTCCCAAACCAGCTTGTGGCTGCTAAAATTACATAATTGTGTTAGTAGGATTTTGTATTTAAAATAGGGATAAAGATTTGGTAAAAAAAATACCTTATTTTTCCAAGTTCCAGCACAACGATGAGCTGATGGATGCCAAGCATTGAAATGTCTGACAAGATGAATAACTTCGAATTTTCTATTAAGAGAGACAACTGCATTACAAAGGCCACATCTAGCATGCTGTTTGTCGACAAGAGTAACAGGAACCTGAAAAAATGGATAACAAATATGAAAATTTTGCGAAAATAATGCATAACTAACATAATAATGCATAAATAACTATTGATGAGGCTAAAAAAATGATTTCAACCTAAGTAATTCAAATCGTAAATTAAAATAAGAAAAAAAATAAAAAACTGATTAAACGGAAAGATCACTTACTCTACGACCCATTTTTTCAACCATTTTCTTTTTCAACGCTATATCTAATTCATCCAGCGACATTTCGTGAGGATTTACTCGATACTTAAAAAAAAAAAGACAAAATAAAATAAAAAACTACATAAATAAAATAAAAAACAAATAAAACAAAAAAAATTTGCCATTCAATTTGATTTCATTTTTATGACTACCTTTGGGTAAATTTTACCTGAGAAACCTTACGAAGAATACGATTTGGTCTAGAGAAATTCGGCAAATCATAAGAATTAGCTGACCGAAAACCACTCTCCAAATGCTTTCGTTCATTACTCAATTTATCACGAAGCCATATTACATTCGGTGTTTCATCAAAATCCATATTATGATTATCACCCAAAACCTAACAATAATGACAAGAATTAATTAAACATCTTAATAATAGTGATTAAATTTCATCTGACCAACAATTGTCATATTATTCTATTTATCTCTAATTCATATCAAAAAACTGTGAAATGCGGAAATATTTAACCTCTGGATGATGAGTAGGTAAATGTTCATTCATCAGAAGTTCATAGGGCACAATTTCACCACAGAGACCACAGCAGATATTTTTTGCATCCAAGAAATTGAATTCAACAGTACGTAAGTCGTTATGTGACGAATCCTCGATTACGACACCATTTTCATCGACAAAAACTACGTCTAAAACAAAAATGAAAAAAAAATTAAAATAAAAAAAAAATTTACAAAAATTGAAAATTCAATATAGTTAACGTCAGGAACAGAAAGAATAATGAACCATCAACAGTTTGTCCTGAAGATACTTGGATAAACTGCTCTGTTCCACCCGGAGAATTTACACGAATTACCTCCCCCATTCCTTCAATGTATTCAGTTTCGTGTATCTAAAATTCATCAAAATTTTAATTTCAACAAATAAAATGTGAATTCTCCCTTTCACGATATTAAGATTGAAAATTGAGAATCGATAATAATCCTTACTGATCCTCTTTCGAGCTGCTCTAACTGCATAATTTCGTCAGCTCCAGGACCATTTTCAGGTGACAATTCTGGAGGAATTTCTTCGTCTTGTTCGATAACTTTGGAACGACTCTCCCGTTTCACTAATACTGCATTTTCCTTGTGGATAGATTCACTGCTAGATACTAAAAAAAAGTAATAACTATTTGATTCAAGCAGAAAATGAGGACTGTTGAGCGATAATTTACTTCGACAAGATCATAAATTCCTGTCACCTTCTAAGCGAAAAAATCTATAGTCAAATGTGGAATCAGGTTGGTGCAGAATCAGAGATTCTATACTCAATTTATCCTCTTATTATAACTGTGCTTCTCAAAATGGAGTTTGGATTCTTCGGAATATCCAAAATCTCTCATTGATATCGAAGCCAAAGATATTTTCATATTATATTTTATTATATTAATAGATATAATATTTAAAAAAACATTAACGAAACATAAGCATAAACTTATGGTTTTCAGAAATTTTTAAGAGAAACTAAAAGGCCTAAGCTGTTAAAGGATCTAATATTGCCAGTTAGCCAAATGCTATTTTTTGAGTTGAAAATATAAATTAATATAATCTTATCATTAAAAAAAAATACTTCGACGATTTCCTTCTATTTTTTGAGAAGTCTCTTCAGCAACGGTGCCTTGATCAATTACTTCAATGCCTTCATCAAATAACAAATCCTGCCTTTCTAGTTGTTTTAATATTTCCTCATCATTCAAGTCAACTGGTTCATATAAAACCTAAAAGTTTTTAGAGAAAACTATCTTTTCCCTTCCGAATTTTTCTTTCTATTTTATAAATTTTAAAGATGTTGAGCACCCTTCCAATTTGAACTAAAAGTGAACAAGAAATTCTTTACCCAAAAAAAGAAAATTTTGCCACAGAATTAAATGTTTATTGATTATAGTAAAATGATTAAAAGATGAATCATTACCTCTTCACCATTTTCAATAATAATTATGTGATGTCGTTCTTTCATTTGTTTAATTTCATTCACGTCAAGTTCACTTAAAAAATTTTTTCGATGAATAAATTAAATGAATTTTTTCGTGATAAAAAATATATTTCAACATTTTTCTTCATATGTCTTGGTAAATTAAATATAAATTTAGAAAAACTTGTATAGTGAATTTACACATTAGGAAAAGTTATCTTGTTCAAATATAAGATACTAGATATTATATGGAAGAATACTTTAGTTTATGCTCATTTCTTTAAATTAATGTGCAAGATGCATATTTTAATTTTTAAATAACAACCTGAGAAATCCCTTACGCCGTAAAAAGATTTGTGACCCTTGTGAAACACCAGCTTTACCGCTATCACTTATTGTACTTTTATCGCTCCTAAATATTAGCAACCAATCAATCAAAAATCAAGCAATAATGGTAAATGCCCTTTCACAAACTTTACATTTCCCAAACCAAGAAAGATTAAGGAATGGTAAACCTCATTTTGATAGGAACCTTAGATAAAAATTATTTCATAAGAATGTTTAAAAAAATGAAATAACAAACGACTTACCTAAAACTTTCACCCTTACGTTCTCGGATAGAGGTTTCCTGAGGTCTATCAGCATAACGCTCTTTGACATGAGATTGTTGCGATTCACTACTCATTCGCTCTAAAAACGCAAGTGAATAAATTTTAAATTTTTTTTTAAATTATAAGCAGATTAAAATTGAAAAACAAACTGCTTTACAAATTCAGTCCGGAAGATATACAAATTAAACAAATCGTTAAATAAAATACCACGCTTAAAACGCCTCGCGATTCTGGTATGGGTACGATCAGTAGTGAGAAGTGGTGCCGCGGCTGGTATTGGTCTATTTTGCTGGATTTTGGGATGAATTACATTGCTGATATTTGCCCTTGTTGAGGCCTTTTTCATAACTTCCTGCGACAAACTTGGAGAGCTATCACCAGCAATTTCAGATGCTGGACCAATATGTTTAACATTACAGATACTACTTGTAGATATATCTTCATCAACTCTGCCTGATTCAACAGTTTCAGTATATTCCTTGAGACGATTTCCTTGCATTTTTCCTAAATAAGCACTTACCAAAAATAAAAAAGACATCTACATCGATATTCCAGAAAGAAAAAAAATTTTAAGTAAAATAAAACACTCGATCATGATGCATAGAAAGAAAGAATATATGAGGTCGCGAAGTAATATTTTCAATCGCTTAGTGTTATTTTCATTGTTATTGTTATTTTGCTAGGTTATTTTCATTTGTGACTGCATGTACATATCTTCGGATATATAACATAGGTTTAAATTTGCATTAGAATGATGACAATTTTATAAAATTTTTTTTTGTCTTGGGATATATGAAAATATTAGTCTCCGTATTAACAGGTTCCTAATTAAAAAAATAACATACTAATTTCCACATTACTCGGTTCTTTATCGGTTAATTTTGCACGTTTATCATAAATATTTGTGACAACATCAATAACTTCTTCTTCATTCGAATCCACACTAACTTCTTCCGACTTCAAATCCAATCGTTTACGCTGTAATGAAATTTTTGATTAATATAGAACTTGTTCTCGTAAATTCTAACTGATTATAAAAATAGCAGAATCGTTATTTTTAATGGTTACTACCGGTTGTTCTGCTAATAAATAATTAAAAATAAAGTATAAGATTTCATATTTTTGCCAATAATTCAAAAAAAAAACCTTTGGCGCTTTTTCAAGTTCTTTCATCTCAATTAAGCGTGCGGTAGGTTTTCTAGCTCTTGTGCTGATTCGTGTAATCTGCTCTTCGTTTGTATTTCTTGTAAAATCGCTAAACTGATCATCAAAACGACTAACGGAATCGTTCCCAACCTGTCTTTTTTTTTAAATTTTGCAAAGAATTATTCTTTCTCATCTCTAAATAGCCATTTAAACAACTCGATTAACAATGGGTTACGGCTCGCTTGTGAATTATTAAATAAGAAGAATTAAATTTAATGAAAACCTCTTCCAAAAGTACGCCTGCTTCAACCGTAGAATCACTATCGTTTTTTTCTTTCTTTCTTTTCAAACGAATTCGCCCGGAACGTACTAAAGCAAAATTGATAAATAATAAAATCGCAAAAAATAAATTAAAGAATTTATCAACGGAGTTTGCGACTTTACTCTACTGCAAATGAATAAGGTTGAACAATTTGGATTACAAATTTTTTTCTTTTAAATAAATAAAGTCAAATAAAATAAAAAGACAAATAAAATTAAAAATATAATCACCATGTGAAATAGGATCTTCAGTATTATCATGGTTCATTTCTCCAGACATATCTGCTTCATGATCTCTGATATCGCTGAAGATTAAAAAAATAAAAAGACTCGATCTATGAAATTTTAATTTTTCAAACGGATACAGAAAAACTTTTTAAATTCCTCTTTAAACTTATTCTTGCTCTACCTATTTGTTTAAGTACAACTTATTTTGAGGCAATCAAAGCAGCAGAAAAGAAGAGGAAGGGTAGCCAAATAGACCTTAAAAAAATGAAAGAAATATAAAAGGAATTTAAGTCGATTTGAGAAATTTAATAACATGTTGCCAGAATAAAGTTTACTAGAAATTGATGATAAACTGATTTGATCAAAATAAAAGGCAAATTTTACGAACGGCATCACCGAAGAGTAACTTTATTCAACAATTCAGGGACTAACAAGAGTCATCAGATAATTTTTTTAATGTCCCCAACGGCCATATATAAATTGTATCATTTTATCGTTTTAGTTTTAATAGAGCTGTTAAACCCAAATATAAAAAGATATCCGGACAGATCTCCAAATACATTGGTCATTGGTCTATGATGAGGAAATAATATCAATATATCAATCCTACAGTAAATGGGATCAGAAACTAAAATTTGCTTGATTCAACCATAATCATATTCGTATAAAATATATTCACAAAAATTTCTCATGTGTTTTGTCGATTATAAATTCAATCTACTGTTATTCTTTGCTGATCGAGTGGAAATAAAAGAACTTACGATTTGGCTGGTTCATTCATCCTTTCATCTTTTTGAAATATTTTTTTACTAACATCATATTTTTCTTGTTCCATTGAAACATTCGTTTGTTGAGTAAATTCCATGTTTTTGCCATTGCATGATTCACTAACATTTCTTCCACGAGCTAAAATTTATAAACATAGGATTTCTGAAAAAAATTTTCTCTTATTCTTATCTATTCTTCTAATTTTTCATTTTAACGCAAAGAAACTTTTTATTCTTATTCTTCTTATTCTCAAAGAAACTTCTTATCTTCCTTGTTTAGTTGGAAAAAATAACAATGAATAAAAGAAATTGCACAATTTTCTAGGAAAAAATCTTATCTTATTGTCAATCAAAGACAATGATATCTAAAGCGATACACAAGTTCACAACGTCAAAAGTACGACAAATTACTCTAATAAATGACCAATCGCTAAGCCAATCAATATTTCCTTTGTAAATATTCGTACTAATTAAACATTCATTTAACCTAACATTCATTTATACACCTTAAAAATTGAAGGATCTAAGTAAAAACACCGAATAATTTATAAATTACAACAAAAAACTAATCTCAAGCAACGGTCAATAATAAATTAAAATGCAGCTTATTCACATGAACTCAAAACCAAATGAATTTTACACATATTCACGGACGTGCTTTGCACGTAATGACGTCACACGTAATGACAAGTATGTGTAGAAATATCTTCGCGTGTATCAGCACACATATGTTTTTTCCTTTTTTTTTGTTTTGTTCTACACGGATTTATATTTAAAATAATTCGAAATTTTAAAACAATTCAATAAAAATAAAAAAATGAAAAACAATATAGAAAAAAGAATCGATTTAATGAGAGCAAATCTGAAAAAAAAGAAAATTTGAATGAGCCAAATTAAAATAAAATCAACGACGCTCGACCCGCTCGGGTCGGACCCAACCCGTTCAGCTCAAATTTGACCTATAAGCAAGAAAGTAATAAAAAAAAACCTTTGGTAAAAATTGACATAATTGATTGGCGGGCAAAATAACTGTTGGTCTCGTAAAGAAATTTTACAATTTTCTTGCTAAAACTCCTCAATTTTTAATTGGATCGCGTCGCGTATTATTGATTTTTCGGGTCTTACAACGATTTTTTGAATTACCGGATATAGGGTTGCATT